ATCAGAATTAAATTAAGGCGATGGAGAATAAAGACAATGAAGAAAATCCTAGAAAGAATTAAGCTCGGTAAGTAAGTTTATAAATAGGAGGAAACTGGAAACATACACCAACACAATTCACGACCAACTTGAAGAATAAACCGAGAGACACCAGAATTCTTGGAAGAAGAATTCGAGAGAAAGGAGGAGCATACAAAATTAGGAGAGTAATAAGATATTGAGGAATCAGGTATGGGTTAGACGTTTAGTTTTATTCATACGAATGTCTGTAATTGGAGATTACTATTGAAATATTGTTGAAATTCTTTCAATTAAGGATGAATTATATAATAAAATTGTTGTTTTTAACTTAAATTGAACATATTTATGGTTTAATTTTGATTTGGAACAAATTTGAGTGATTGAAACTGAGAAATTTGAAACTTGGATTTCGAAAATGGCGAACTGATGAAAATCTGCAAAACTCGCTCAAGCGAAAAATATGTCGCTTGAGCGAGGATACCTGGAAAATTTGGGATTCTCGGGTTCTTTATCGCGCAAGCGATCATTACATCGCTTGAGCGACTAACGGTCATGTCTCGCTCAAGCGATAAGTTACTCGCTCGAGCGACGAAAGCTTCAAACAAAGGGGACTAAGGGTCATGTCTCGCTCAAGCGACAAGTGTACTCGCTCGAGCGACGAAAGCTTCAAACAAAGGGGACTCTCGGGTCATTACTCGCTCAAGCGACCGATTTACTCGCTTGAGCGACGAAGGCTTCAAACAAAAGGGACTCTCGGGTTCCATCTCGCTCAAGCGAACGGTGTACTCGTTTGAGCGAGCGAAGGAAGAAGAAAGGACTAGGTGGGAATTTTTGCAAAAGATCAAGGGTAAAATAGTCATTTCACATATTAGGGACATAAATGGAATTTTGAAAAAGGTTAAGGGTATAATCGAAATAAAGTCAAACAGTATATTACCTCCTCTTTGTTTACTAGAAAAATGACTCAATAAACGTTAGAATTTGAGGATAGTGCCTTCATCAAAGTTATAGATTATTATGTTATCTTTCCAACACAATTGGAATCATCTTAAAATGAGATCTAGAACTCAAGATATGGACAAAACACTGAACCCTATGAAATAAATTATTAATAAAAATTGTCTTGCTTAAAACAACTATGAATTGTAATTAAAATTTTGAATATATGAAGGAGATGTTTTTAAGTATTTAATTGATGATAGATTGTTTTGTTTCATACGAGACATAAACATAGTGCATGAAATGTTTTCTGGAAGTCACGGAAAAGTTTTTACAGTAAAAGTATTTGGAAATTTCTCTTAAGTTGCTACCAAGGACGGTTGGTAGGAATAATGATGTGTAAAACAGAATTTTTACATTTTCTGTGAGTCAATTTACTATCAAGAGCATCCGGTAGTGAAATATGACTATGAAAATGGCTGGCCAAATGAGACAGAGAATGAATTATTAAAAATTGAGCTACCGTAATCTCTCGATAGTAAATGGGGGAGTAGAATAGGTAAGACAGGACCTCCGGGTCTATGGGGATGGACCTCTGGTCTAGGGAGTGTTTGGGCATGGGCAATTCCATAAGTGGCCAGTCTTTATTTGATTATGTGCCGTGGTAGCCTGCCGGTGCACTCGACACTCGACTCACCGTCTACTTGTTCGCGTTTAGTGGGACATTGCCGAATCACCTGGACAGGGTGATGTTAAGCTCGGTTCCACTAGGCACTCAAATGAGTCTCCATGGAGCACCGAGTCAAAAATAATTTTTTTATTTTGAGTCAAAAGCATGATTTTAAAGTTTTACGTTTGGAGTCACATGTGCATATCATAAACATATTGCATGATAAAATTGTAAATTATTCATGATTTGTACGATATTCTCTATTATGATTCCATGATTTATTTATTTGTTTCTCATAATTAATTTTTAAATTAAATTATATACGGTTGTATATTTATTAGAAGGAATTTTTCATTGGTTGATTTTATCGTATGAATGTTTGCTTTATTTGTTGTGGATAAAATTAAATGTCTAACCCCATAAATATTTCAATCCCGAGATGTTGGTGACGTATGATGCAGGAATATATAGTCCAAGAGATAGATGTCGAGATGCAAAAATCCAGAGCTTAGGCTGGGAATTGTATAACATATAAGTATAACTTCATGACTTGTAATATTTTGAAAACTTTGTACTAGAACTTGTTGCTTGATTTAATATAAAACCTTACCTAAATTAATTGTTCACTTAGTATATTTTCTATTAACCTTCTATGAATATTGAAAATATTACTAACTTAGATAATAAATTAGAATTAATAAATGTAATCTGTAAGGGGGTTACACCCTTCATCACTCATACTTGGAGTACCCCTCCGAGCGCGCCACCAGTCAACCCCTATCGACTTCTCACCACCTGATCTCATAGTCTACCTGACTCGACCAATCAGTGAAGTCTAGGACATCATTCAGAATCATCCGACATAGTTATTACACTAATATACTCTGTACTACCCCGGGTACCATTTAAACAAAAATCATTCATATCTGCCAGATTTTGGACCACTTGTTCTCACGGCTCATTCGAGTCAATAAATAATAATATTTAACTGATTCTGGGTACCAACCCTTCGACTCAGTCTAGCCAATACATAACATCTCATTACTGATTCTGGGCATTAGCCCTTAGACTCAGTCTGGCCCACACACGTCACAACACACTACTGAAACTTTAAAATTTCTAATTTCATTTTATATTTAAATTATTTTTCTTAACATACATTTACTTTATTTATAAAATTCCAATTATACCTTTAAATATTTTCTATTATTCCTTTTTCATCCCGAAATTATTAAATTACTATTTTGTCCTTAATCTTTTCTTAAAATTCCATGTATGTCCATAAATGACTATTTTACCCTTGGACATTTTCGAAAATTCCTTCCATGTCCCGAAAATGACTATTTTACCCTTGGACATTTTCGAAAACTCCTTCTATGTCCCAAAAATGACTATTTTACCTTAGACATTTTTTAAAATTTCTTCTATGTCCCTATGATGTAAAATGACTATTTTACCCTTGATCTTTTTTAAAAATTCCCAATTTACCCTCATCTTCAACCTACGATTCCCAATACGCCATGTCCAACCTTCAGGTTTCAAATTTCCAAGTTTCAAACACCCAAACTAGTTCCAGATCCAAATTAAACATGAAATATGTTCAATTTAAGTCAAAAACAACAATTTTATCATATAATTCATCCTTAATTTCAAGAATTTCAAAACTTTCAAATCAGGAACAGTCATCAAAATCAGAAATTCTTCAAAAGCAGACATTCAAATAATTCATATTTCTACTCCTATTCCTTATTCACAGAGTACCTAACAATTCAGTTTCATATATTGAATGAATTAAACTTCCTCTTACTTGGTGTGATATTTCTACCGAAGTTTTCCTACTTAATCCAAGTTCTCTTCCGTTTTACCAGATCCTGCACGAGTAGAGTCTTGTTGTTTGAAATTTAGACAAAAAAACAAGAAAGAGAGGAAAAACTACTTGCTTAAATTTCTTGTCTCCTCCCCCCTTTCTATATGTACATATATAAAAGAAAAATTTTATCATGTGCATGAGAAAAACTTCATTACGAAGTTTTCTTGCACAATAATATTATTATAATATATAATAATAAAATATCACGTCACACCAACCATACCCAATCTTTATATAGGTACTAATACTAAAATATTTTTTTAATATTTTTTGCATTATTTTTTGAAATCTCTAATTTTAATTATTTGAAAACTTAAATTAAATAAATAAAATTGATAAAATAAATAAAAATTTATAATGCGATAAAGTTCATCTTCCCAAATAGGTTTATCTTGATCGATCTTACTCTTATGCACCTGGGTCCAACTATACACAATCTCTATGCATGTACCAATACTAAAATATTTTTTTAATTTATTTTTGCATTATTTTTTGAAATCTCTAATTTTAATTATTTGAAAATTTAAATTAAATAAATAAAATTGATAAAATAAATAAAAATTTATAATGGAATCTGTATTTAAAAACACGGGTATTCTATTATATTTTCTGAAATGAGAGTAAAGAGGAGGTGTTTTTTATTTAAAGGAATCCGGACATTTGGATTCACAACACAAGCATTGGGGTTTGCGCTCTTTTGTTGGGAAGAAAGAAAATTCAATTCTCAAATAAAAACCACCTCCTCCTTACTTTCATTTAAGAAAATAAAATTGAATATATATATATATATATATATATATATATATATATATATTATTAACCTAAACCCTAATTAACTTAAACCCTTCATAAAAAAAAAATATATATATATATATATATTTATAAATAAATAAAATCAATTAAATTAAATACAAATTATACTCAAAACTAAAAAACTCTGAGTATAATTTGTATTTAGTTTAATTGATTTTATTTATTTATAAATATATATATATATATATATATATTTTGTTAACCTAAACCCTAATTAACTTAAACACTTCATCCATATATATATATATATATATATATATATATATATATATATATATTATATATATTGTTAACCTAAACCCTTCATCCATAACCTTAATTAACTTAAACACTTCATCCACATATATATATATATATATATATATATATATATATATATATATATTTTTTTTTTTTATATATATATATTGTTAACCTAAACCCTTTGTCCATAACAAAAAAAAAAAAATATATATATATATTATTATGCATTTGTCTAAAGATCCGCATTTACGCGGATATTCAACTGTTTGTGGGCCTTTGCGGACCAAACTCAGAAAGGGCGAAATGTGTACAATTCTGTTCGAGTACGTTAACTAATAACCGGTTGCCACGTAGAGAATATCAGTACCATGTATCAGTCCCTGATTTAGTCCCTGATTCAGTCCCAGAGATGATTGCTGTTACTTATAAAGCAACACGTGGTCGATGTTAGAGATTGTTATCGTTTGTCGTTTCTCCTCTTGCACTTGTCGTCGTTATTCTCGGAGTTTGGATCCGGTTAGTCCCTCATTTCTCTCTATATCTCCTAGTGGGGTTTCTATCTCTTGGATTTCTTGATCTCCTTCTATTTCACACAAATTTTGTTGCTATCCAAGGTGAAATTTGTTTTCCAGCTGTGTGTAACATTAAAAAGACACCATTTTTGTTTAGAAAGCAATACCTTTGTCATTATATTGCTTAAGAATCGATTTGTTTTTGGTGCGTTCTAAACCTTAGAGCAATCTCATTTCTTGCTTTTAAATAAATTTTGAAATGAAATATGCATGTATATTTGTGAATAATTTTTCATTCACTTTCTAATTGGCGTGGGATATAACTTTTTTCTTTTGCCTACTTCCAAACCTGTGATGGCTGAAGCTGTTTGTTTGGTACTTTATTAACTATGTATTTTATGTCAACGAGTTTACCTTTTATTTATTTATTTATTGATTTATTTATTTTTAACTAGATCAGTTTTTGCTTTTTGCTTTGTTGCCACTACTTGGTGTCATTTGAATTTCACGATTTGTAAATCACGGGTTCTTGATGGTGCTGCAGAGCATTTGCTTCCACATTGAATATGGCTGAGGCTAATGCTGGGTTGTTGGAGTGGCCAACGAAAGATAAGCGCCGCTTTCTGCATGCTGTGTACCGTGTTGGTGATCTTGATCGCACCATTAAGTAGGATTTTTGTTCACTTGGGTCGTTGAAGTTCGCTTTGACGTGTGCTTAGATGCTCAGTCTCCTAACTATTGTTTCAGGTTTTATACTGAATGTTTCGGGATGAAGCTTTTGAGGAAAAGAGATGTTCCAGAAGAGAAATATACCAATGCTTTTCTTGGATTTGGTCCCGAACAATCCCATTTTGCTGTGGAATTGACTTATAGTATGTTTCTTGTATATTTAGTTTTTCTTGTGATTCTCTGATTTATGTATCTTTTGTCTAACAACGGATTGAATTGGACATGACTTATGTCCACATGTGATGTTTTTGGTCAGATTATGGGGTGACCTCATATGATATTGGAACTGGCTTTGGACATTTTGCTATTGCAACTCCAGATGTAAGCCTGAGTCTTGCCTTCACCCCTGCCTGACCAATTATTTTGTTGGATAAAATTAAATATTAGGTTTAAATGTTAGTTTTTACATATTTTGTTTAAGCAGATATTTATGTTAGTTTGGATTTTGTGCTGAAATTGAAGTGTATCTATATTCCACTTTTAGGTTTACAAATTGGTTGAAGACATCCGGGCCAAGGGTGGAAATGTCACCAGGGAGCCTGGTCCAGTTAAGGGGGGGACATCTGTTATTGCCTTCGTGAAGGATCCTGATGGTTATGCTTTTGAGCTCATCCAAAGACCTTCAACTCCTGAGCCATTGTGCCAAGTAATGCTTCGTGTTGGTGATTTAGAGCGCTCAATAAAGTTTTATGAAAAGGTACAAGTCCAACTCATGTTTTTTTTTAATGAACATGTATTTTAATAAAACCAATTTATGTTCTAGGTCCATTGCTTATCATACACTTGCATAAATATTCATGTTTGTCAACTTAAAATTTATAATTTTTCAGATTTTATTGGTACTATTTGCTTTTCTGTATAGAAACTCATCTTCTGCAGATATTTTGATGATAAAACTTCGTTGTATCATGTCCCTCAATGATCTACTGCCTTGTTTATACTCCATTGGTAAACTGGTAAATCAATTATAGGCATGTTGGATGAAATTCCAGAGAGAAGGTTCTGTGTTCAGTATATTCAGTCACACAATAAGTAAATCTTTCTTATCAATATAAAAACCACTTTCTGTCATGCCTTGAACTAACTGCCTAAAAGCTTAAGCTTTTAGGTGAATGGATTGTATGTCTAACATGTTGCATGGTACTCTAATTATCCATTCTACTTTTCTCTCTTGAGGTGGGGAATGTGGAGAGTGAAGCCTGGGCTTGAGTTGGATGTGTAGGGTCTAGTGCTTATATTGATAATTGAAAAATCTCATTAATTGATTTGCGTGGCATTCTGGATCTGGATTGGAATTATGAGCTGTTTGTTGAGGTGTAAAGATCGGTCAAAGATAGGGAACTTCCTCGTAAGTTCCTGGTCAAAGGAAGGCTACTTCCTTGCAACTTCCTGGTCAAAGGAAGGGAGCTTCCTTGCAACTTCCTGGTCAAAGGAAGGGAGCTTCCTCTCAACTTCCTCTCAAGAAGGATTTGTTTGGCTATAAATACCTCATTTTGTAACCTCATTTGCATCCAATCCAAGTGTGAAGTAAGAGTAGAGAGAGTGTATTCATACGGGCTTGTGTGAGTTGTAACATTCGGTTTATCCTCTTATTCTAGTTCATTCTCCTGGCTTGGTTCGCCCCCAGATGTAGGATTTAATCCGAACTGGGTTAACAAATATTCGTGTCTTTTATTGATCTCACATTGGTGTATTATTATTATTCCATCTTATCCGACCTTATTTCCCAACAAGCTGGTATCGAGCCAGGAGGTTGGAGATAAGATGGAGGGAAAGATTCAAGTCGAACGGTTCAATGGTTCAGACTTTGGATTCGGCGAATGCAAATGGAGGCTTACCTGTACGGGAAGGACCTCTACGCACCTCTTGGGGAAAAACCCGAGAAGATGAGCGATGATGAATGGAAGGTGCTCGATCGGAAGGCGATGAGTGCTATAATTCTTTCGCTCTCTCGGAACGTCGCCTACCATGTGAAGGGAGCAAAAAGCACGAAGGAGGTCTCGCGGATACTCGCAGATATGTATGAAAAACCATCGGCAATAAACAAGGTGATGCTGATGAAAAAGCTGTTCAAATTGCAAATGGAGGAGCGAAAGTCGGTGGCCGATCATCTCAGCGATTTCAACCAACTCACTACGCAGTTGGCATCGGTGGATATTTCGTTTGATGATGAGGTAAAAGCCCTAATCTTGCTCTCATCATTGCTTGGACAGTTGGGACGTGGCATGTTACTTCGGTGAGCACTTCTTCGGCAAGGAGAAGATGAAGTTCGACAACATAAGAGATATGATGTTGAACGAGGAGACCCGCAGAAATCGGGCGGGTGGGTCGTCCGGCTCAGCCTACATATAGAGTCCGGAGGGAGACCCGAAACACGAGGGAAAATCCGTGGGAGGTCAAAATCCGGGGAAGGAATAAAGGCAAGAAAGAGATGGTGTGTTGGAACTGCGAGAAGCCTGGGCATATGAAAAGCGAATGCGGGCACCAAGGAAAGACAAAGAAGGTCGGACAGCCAATGCCGCGACGGAGGACACGGCGGATGCACTCTTGTTGAGTGTGAGAAGCTCGCTCGATGAGCTGGATCGTGGACTCGGGGGCCTCATTTCACTCATGCAGTAGCAGAGACATCATGGAGCCATACACCGCAGGTGATTTTGGCTTGGTATATCTTGCGGACAACAAATCCCTAAAAATTGTAGGGAAGGGAGATGTGCGGATCAAGTCCGCAAATGGGTCATGCTTGGACCCTACGTGATGTGAGACACATTCCGGGACTGAAGAGGAATCTCATCTCGGTTGGACGAGCTGGACAATGACGGCTTCCACACAATGTTTGGAGACGGAAAGTGGAAGGTCAGCCGAGGAGCTATGACTTTGGCAAGAGGGCTGAAGTCGGGAACGCTTTACACGGCGAGTAGATCCAGCTCAAACATTCTCCTGGCAGGAGTTGTCTCACAATCGCACTTGTGGCACGGTCGCTTGGGCCACATGAGCGAAAAAGGAATGAAGGTACTAAAGTCGAGAGGACTTTTGCCCGAGTTGGAGTCGGTGGACGTGGGTCTCTGCGAGCAATGCGTGCTTGGAAAGCGAAGCGAGTGAGCTTCATAACCACGGAAGAGCTCCAAAGACAGAAAAGCTGGAGCTCGTGCACACTCGACTTATGGGGGCCAGCACCGGTGACATCTCTTGGAGGATCGATGTACTACATGACGTTCGTCGATGACTGCACAAGAAAGGTATGGGTGTACTTTCTGAAAAGAAAATCCGAAGCCTTTGATACTTTCAGGAGATGGAGAGCACTCGTGGAGAAAGAGACAGTCCGGAAGTGAAATGTCTCGGATCCGACAACGGTGGCGAGTACAACGGTGAAGCCATCAAAGAATACTGCGCCGATCATGGGATCCGGATGCGGAAGACGGTCCCGGGGACACCTCAACAAAATGGCATTGCGGAGAGGATGAACAGAACACTGAATGAGCGTGCGAGATGCATGCGATTGAAGAGTGGACTGCCCAAGATGTTTTGGGCGAAGCGATCAGCACGGCCGCTTTCTTGATCAACAGGGGCCTTCGTCCCCTCTGAACAACAAAATTCCAGAAGAGGTGCGGAGTGGTAAGAAAGTTGATCTCTCTTTCTTACGTACCTTTGGTTGTTTGGCTTACGTTTTGAATGACGACCGGACAAAGCTGGATGCTAAGTCAGTCAAATGTACATTCATTGGATATGGGACTGACGAATTTGGGTATAGATTTTGGGATGATCAAAATCGGAAAATTATTCGCGATCGTAATGTGGTGTTCAATGAAGGCATAATGTACAAGGACCGGAAGGAATACCCGGACGATGACAAGACCATGCAGGAGTATGTTGGTCTCGATATTTCAAATACCGGAATCATGAGACCAGCGGATACGGTGGGAGCTCGAGATAGATGAGATCGAGCGTACGGAAGAAGAGGCGGAACCGGAATCGGATGAACCGATTCGTTGAGAGCGGCACGCCTCGGCACTGGGTCGAGAACAGAGGATGAGAAGGGCCCGGATAGGTACTCCCCTTCTCTTTATTACCTACTTTTATCCGATTACGGGAACCCGACTGTTATGCGAGGCGATTAAAGATGCCCACAAGAGCAAGTGGGAGCTTGCGATGGAAGACGAGATGAACTCGTTGAAGAAGAACCACACATGGGATTTGTGTGATCTCCCACAAGGAAAGAAGGCTCTTCAAAACAGATGGGTCTATCGGGTCGAGGAGGAATCGGATGGAACAAAACGGTACAAGGCCGGACTTGTAGTAAAGGGATTCCAACGGAGATACGGTATTGACTTTACCGATGTTTTTACACTGTTGTTAAGTTAACCACTATACGTTTAGTGTTAAGCATCGTAGCGGCGGAAAACTTGGAGTTGCAACGAGTTAGATGTGAAGACGGCCTTTACGCATGGGGATCTCGAGGAGGAAATTTACATGGTGCAACCGAGAGGGATATAGAGGAAATGATCGGCAGGTCCGTCGCCTAAAGAAGAGCTTGTACGGACTGAAACGAGGCTCCTCGACAGTGGTACCGAAAATTCGATAATTTCATGCTTGGAGATAGGATACTCCGGGTGTAATGCTTGATCATTGTTGCTATGTGAAGAAGTTCGGTAACTCTTTCATTATTTTCTTGCTATATGTGGATGACATGCTGATAGCGAGGATCGGATGTCAAGGAGATCGAGAGGCTCAAAGATCAGCTTATCAAGGAGATTTGATATGAAGGATCTAGGAGAAGCGAGACAGATCTTGGGCATGAAAATCACGAGGGACGAAATCTTGGTAAACTTTGGCTTTCTCAATTTGATTATATTGAGAAGGTGTTGTGCGAGATTCAATATGAATATTGCAAAGTCGGTTCGAGTGCCATTGGGAAGCCGGTTCAAGTTGTCCAACAAGGATTCGCCCAGGATGACTCGGAAAAAGAAAAGATGAGAGATTACGCCGTATGCTTCGGCTATCGGGAGCCTAATGTACGCTATGGTCCGCACCGGCCGGACATAGCACATGCGATGGGAGTAGTCGGTCGGTTCATGAGCAATCCTGGAGTGATGCACTGGGAGGCGGTAAAGTGGATCCTTAGGTACCGAGGGGTACTAAGGGCCAGGGCATTAGTATTTGGCAGGGTACCCTTACCCTGTCTGGGTATGTCGATGCTGATTTTGCGGGAAGTGATCTTGACAAGAGGAGGAGTACTACTGGGTACGTATTCACTTACGGCGGGACGGCCGTATCCTGGATCTCAAAGCTGCAGAAGATAGTCACATTGTCCACAACGGAAGCTGAGAACGTGGCAGTGACGGAGGCAGCCAAGGAGCTCGTTTGGCTGCAAAACTTCTTGAATGAACTTGGGAGACCTCAAGAGGATGTGGCTCTATACGGCGATAGCCGAGTGCAATCCATCCGGCAAAGAACCCCGCGTTTCACTCGCGAACGAAGCACATCGAGGTTAAGTATCATTTCATCCAAGCAACTTCTAGAGAAGAAGATGCTGCAGCTGAAAAAGGTTCGGGGAGATAGGAATCCTGCAGACATGTTGACCAAGGCGGTAACTTTGGAAAAGTTGAAGGCTGTGTGTAGCTTCGATCGGCCTTGATGATTAAAACAGGCGGACTTAGCGGAACCAAGAGCGAGAGATGAACAGGTTGACCAATCTTCAAGTGGGAGATTGTTGAGGTGTAAAGATCGGTCAAAGATAGGGAACTTCCTCGTAAGTTCCTGGTCAAAGGAAGGCTACTTCCTTGCAACTTCCTGGTCAAAGGAAGGCTACTTCCTTGCAACTTCCTGGTCAAAGGAAGGGAGCTTCCTTGCAACTTCCTGGTCAAAGGAAGGGAGCTTCCTCTCAACTTCCTCTCAAGAAGGATTTGTTTGGCTATAAATACCTCATTTTGTAACCTCATTTGCATCCAATCCAAGTGTGAAGTAAGAGTAGAGAGAGTGTATTCATACGGGCTTGTGTGAGTTGTAACATTCGGTTTATCCTCTTATTCTAGTTCATTCTCCTGGCTTGGTTCGCCCCCAGATGTAGGATTTAATCCGAACTGGGTTAACAAATATTCGTGTCTTTTATTGATCTCACATTGGTGTATTATTATTATTCCATCTTATCCGACCTTATTTCCCAACACTGTTACTTGTAATGGACATGAAAAATCCTGATATTGCATCTGGTATATTATGTTTTTAAGTTTTGTTCTTTAAGTGTGTGTGTGTGTGTGTGTGTTTTAATGGCATACATTTCAATGCTCATTCAACCCAATCCCTTGGGTTCGGGTAGTTGAAGTGCATTTCTGTTTGAGCCATTAGAACGGGAAACCAAACACACCCTGCTGGATTTTATTAGCTAAGGATCAGATTTTGGTTCTTATTGGATCATGTTTGTGCAGGCTTTGGGTTTGAGGGTCGTAAAGAGGGCTGATAGACCTGAACAAAAGGTGAGTTTCCTTCTTAATCTTAGTAATCCACTTAAGGCAGGACATATATCATACGTTAGCTTTGACTTATAAGTTTGCCCGGATTATGTTGCATATATTACAGTATACTATAGCAATGCTTGGGTATGCAGAAGAGCATGAGACAACTGTGTTAGAGCTTACATATAACTATGGTGTCACTGAATACACCAAGGGAAATGCCTATGCACAGGTTGGTAAATACTTGTTTATTAGGTTATATTTCTTTATGGAAGCCTAAATCAGTTCTTCACATTTCTGTTCTCCGTGATCATCAAACTTATTTGTTGTATATAACAGGTTGCTATAGGTACCAATGATGTATACAAGAGTGCTGAGGTTGTGAACATAGTCTCGCAAGAGCTTGGAGGGAAGATTACTCGGCAACCAGGACCAATTCCTGGCCTTAACACAAAGATCACTTCTTTCTTAGACCCTGATGGATGGAAAGTTGTAAGTATTTTATTTTGATTAAATTTTGATGTTGTCAGGGTATGACTTACTTTCTATGTTGTTTTAATGTAGAATCATGAGCTGAAATAATAGGTTATTTATGAAGAAGAACACCTACATATGTGCTAACCCAGGGGCAACTATAGCCGTAATTAGTATACTTTTTTAGTGTCATAAACTATGAAATAGAATATGCATAAGCTATAGAAGGTTGCTTTAACTGAACTTGCATTACTTTTGAATAACAGAAACTTTAGTCTAATTATGAGTATGAACAAAACAATTTGTTTCTTCAGAGCTGAATGTTTATCGATTATGATTTATGAATGTGAAATGTAGAGCAGGAAGTTTCTCATGTATAACGAAAGGGTGTTTTAACCAGAAAATAATAAAGAATGTATGTAATATACCTATCAACATCCTTGACTTAGTGTCAAGGAATTCGTTCTGACTAACAACTTAAACTGATCATACATTGAGTTTTCTGTCAATTGTCATGGTTTGCTGAATAATCTTTGACTTGCTAATATAAAAGGATTTTTGTCTCGGCATATATTTAACTTTGTTAAGGTTCCAACATAAAATCAATTGGCAATACGTGGAATAACCTAACATGTATTTAAACCATAACAAATGACATGAGATAGGCGATGTGAGACTTTCAACACGCCCCCTCCAACGAAACCTGCCGGACCAGGCAAAGGGTAGTTTTGACCCAACTAAAGTCCCCTCCAACGAAACCTGCCGGACCAGGCAAAGGGTAGTTTTGACCCAACTAAAGTATAACTTTTGGCCCAAGACAATAACCGGAAAGATGTTAGGCTTTGGTTCTGATACCATATTAAGGTTCCAACATAAAACCAATTGACAATATGTGGAGTAGCCTAACATGTATTTAAACCATACCAAATGACATGAGATAGGCGATGTGGGACTTTCAACAAACTTCTTTTTGTAAGCCTCAGCTTGTGTTTCTCTAATTATTGAATTTAACCTCATTGCTCGTACAGTTGTTTTGGAAATTTTTTTTATCGTGTGAAAGCCAAGTGGAGAAGTACTAATAGCATTATATATTAAGATTTTGTCACATTTCTGCACACTATTTTATTAAATAAAAATAAATATATAATAGCAATGCATTTTGAACGTGCATCTATTGCCTTTGTTAAATTTGTCTGCCACTGTTAATGACAAGTATTTGGTAAGTGGTGTGATTCATTTTGTATGGTTTTTGTAGGTTTTGGTTGACAATCAAGATTTTCTGAAGGAACTGGAGTGAAAAGGGTTATCTCTTCACAAAATATGAAGTAGTAGGGCTATTGTATGAATAAGTGACCAGATTGTGTTTACCGTAGTGGTTTTCAATATGGTTGGCTTTGTAAACATCCATTTGCTGTTTATCCCTTTGAAGTGTCTACCTCTTGACTAACATGCAACAGTACTTCAAAAATGGGAGATGAAATTCTGATGTTTTACAGCAGAACCTAAATCAACCTCAGCCCAATTGCCCTTGGACTCGCTGGTCCAATAAAATTGATGATATCAAATTCAATCTAGACTTTTAACTATAATTTTAATCTTTACGTTTGACAATCTTTTTTGGTAAAAAAATTCTCTTGTAGAATATCACTATATTTTTGGTATTCCATAGCACACCATCAAAATATTTTTTATTTATTTAATACAAAAATATCATATATTCAATAAAATAATAAAATATAAAGCTTATGAAGGACCAAACCAAAATCTATGGAATACTAGATTATTTAGCAAATTTATATTTAGGAAACTAAATATATTTTGAAAAAAAATCATATCTAATCCTAGAAGGTATATAATCATATTATTCAAACTAAATTTTTTTATCATGAATGTCTGATTATTCAAACTGAATTTTATTATAAATCTAATACTTATCATAACATTTACACATTTATTTTCTTTTTCTATAAATATAAGATATATAACCATGCATGTACGCACTTTTTTATATTTTACAAAATTGACAATTTATTTTTTACTTTTTATTTGAATTTTTAATTATTTATAATTTTATTTATTTATTTTTACTTTAAAAATAATTTTATCATTGCATATAAAAGAATAGTTTCTCATGCTTATTATTATTATTATTATTATTATTTCTTTTTATTATATTGTGAATTATCTATGTAAGGATTTAATGGATAAGTTTAAAATCCTTTTAGAGACTAATAAATACTGTAAAATATATAAACTAAAATTGTTTAAACTTTTAGAGATCAAAATTATGAATTTTACATACTAAATTTCTTAAACTTGTTATTTATTTAATTTTGTGTTCCAACATTTTTGTTATTGAGTTGACAATTTTATTCCACTCCAATAAGAGTAGGTATACATAAATTGTTGCAATAATAATAATAATATTGGTTCAGCCTTGTAAGCAAGCACTTTGCAAGAGCAAATGTCATGTGATAGTGTTACAAAAGTCCCATGATTAACAAGACTCCAGAATTTCTCTCTTTACTCATTTCATTTTAAATCTAAATTTTTGCTGGATTTTTATTATAAAAAATCATTATACTTCCTAAAAACACAATGGAAAACTTCCATCAGTAATCAATGTAGATTTCGCAATTCGGGATGATATTCCACTCGGGACTTCTTTCATTTAGTCTCTAAACTTAACCCAAATTCAATCAACCACCAAGATTGACAAGAATTTGTTTGGGAGATTCAGAATTTCAGTGGTATTAGTTAGCAAGGGTGGGTGACAATTGTCTTTTCAGAAGTTTTTTAGTACATTGTTCCTTCTCAGTCCAATTTTAATGAAACTGATTCATGAAATATATACAAAAGATCCAAAACTAAATTCGAAAGCCGAAGAGATCTACACAGAATTTTGCTGTTTATGAAAAGGAATCTAATTTTGATGTCTGTGTCATCTATAGTTGATAGAAAATAAAGAAAAATGTTTGTCTCTGTTCTCCCCATGTGCCAAAACTATGATGGCATTCTAAAGCACCTATAATTAGAAGATAAAATGAATTTTAGACGAGGGATGAGGAAAAAGCTTTTAAAGGGTATTATCTCTTCTTGTATTTGATTCAAGATCAACCTGTTGTATCTGTTTATCCACTGGATAACAACCGAGAATGCGAAAAAATCTTGTATATTCCTGAAATGAAGGAGAAAAGAGTTAATGCTAAGCTAACAAAGAAAAACATAGAATACATTTTGCTAGCACAGATGGAACACTGGAACTCTAAGAATGTAGCAAGCAAGTTGCAAATGGAGCAGTTGTCTAAATGCTTTATTTTCCTATCTATGCCAGCCAACAAAAATTAAAACAAACCAAATAAGAGGAGCAAATTGAAAAAGAAGATGCTTTCGTAGCAATATTTTGGACAAGCTGTTGAGCCAAGCAGTAGAAACAGCACTAGTAAAACAATTGGATTCTATACATTATAATCATATAAGGAAATCCCACCATCAATGCAACATTGTAGATTGCAAACTAGTTTTAGCAAGTAGAAGAACACATTAAAGCATATGTGGAAGCTGGAATGAGTACAGTACTCAATAATAAAGGCCAGAAACAGGTTTAGAACATGAAGAGGCACAATTGACCATGTATGTATTCACACAAATTGATTCCATTGTGACTAGGAAAGACAGATCAATAAAATTGTAGAAAGGGAGTAATGATACTTTCATGATATGATTGTCTCACCTGCAAATTTTCTAAAGCATATCGTACACGTTGTTCCGCCAAAGAAGCTTCAAAATCAATGTAGAAAAGATACCGAAAGGACCTGTCACCAGAAAACTTCATGCCTTACTTTTTCCTACTTAGTTTGAACAACAAAATATATGCTTTTTCAGGGTAAAGATATAATAATATGCTTGATAATATCTATTAACTTGAATGAGATTTAATTGATTTTAATATTAAGCCCTCCAATTTTGGATATGCTTCCAAAGCTGCATCCTCAGAATATGCTCCTGGAAAGCCCTGTGTATCAAGTAATTCACTGGTTAGAAGTGGCATTAATGATGCTATGAATAATTTTTTATCTTAAAAAAAATAAAAATATCAAGCATCATACCTTATAAGCAACGGGCACCTTTGACCCATCTCTTGAAGAAAAATCATTAGCACTTAATTGTTCTACAATTAAGACAGTTGCAAAGTCATGCCAAAAGGAAGAAGAAAAAGGAAATGAGATTGAATCACTTCTCTGTAGCAAAAATAGAGGAGTTCGTACAGTTAAAACTGAAAGAGTTCATGGAAATTGTTGGTTTGAGAAATGGAAAATATGGTCGATTCATAAAAATTTGTAAACAATGTGGATTAATTCGAAGAGGAGTGAAAATTATTGTAATTTGTTATCCAAGATACAAACAAAGATATATATCAGATCTGATTTTGAGTATTTACATACAGGTGATGCGGATATTTTGTTATGACTCTTGTAAAATATGTTGGTTTCTTCTATATATAGAAGAGGATGCAGATTCTTTTGATGTATTTAGCTAGAATTATCCGTATTGAGTAAGTTAAAAAATTTAATTACATGATAATCAGCCACATGTAAAGTAAAACAGCTAAACATTTTATTACTTTGTAAGGAGAGGGTAAGTAACCTGTTGGATAAATATTGAAAAGCAATCAGAACATAAGACACAAATGTAAAATTACCAGGCCAGTAAAATGCCTAATGTAGATAAATCCTGTAACGTGCCTAGTTGAAAATTTTGTTTCTTTAAACGAAGTCCACAGCAGAAGAAATATCTACAAGACACAGTCAACTCACCTACCACAGTTCCCCCCCAAAATCCAAAACCACCTACACCAGTCTCACACCTACACTGATGTCAACCATCATCAAAGTTCCTTCCACCAATCCTGTCACAATTTCCCCCACTAATCCTGCTTCAACATCTATGATAGGCCATATTTCCACCTCCAAACACATGCTTAAACCAATTCATAACAAGAACTGTTTTCAAAATAACCACAAGCTAAAAACACAAAAAACAGAGCTAAAACCAAAACCACAGTTAAGTCTCAACTCTCTCAGTTTCACACTCATCAATCCGACCGGATAAGGGGGTAGTTTTTTTAAATTCATGAAAGTATAAACGACTCACTGATGAAGTAAATATGTTAGCAGCAAAAGTCAGTCCACATCCACACAATAAGGAAAGTCAATGTCTTGAAGTGTGATTCTCCCCATGTACAAATCATTTACATGATCAGTACAGAGAGGGAGACACTTATGGTTTAGGCTTTCATGAATTAGACCCATCCCTTGCACCCATTTTTCTTTATCTAATGGGTTCACATTTAATCTGTTGTGCAGCAAATGGACCCGATAAAAGACTGTGGTTGTCTTGTCACAGAAATGGGCAATGCATCGTGATAGAGGCTCATCGGATGCCAACCTTACTACTACCAAAGACAAAGTCCCATCTACTGGTTTTGGATCAGAAAGATTTCTATCTCCCATCATCTTAACCTCTCTTTCTGTAGGAAAATGCACTTCATGATTTCCATTCATATCATAGACCTTCAAATCTTTGCTAAAATGTTTTATCACTTCAGACTTGGTGGATTCATGCTTCTCTGCTAATGTCAATATACAAGAGAACCTCAAATGATAAGTTACAATAGTTTTGACCATCTTGAAGTTGTGACAACAGCAGAAATAATCAAGCCACCTTCTTGCTATGCCAGCATACCACTTGATAATATCGGCATCCTCAAGTGCAACAAGAAATTCAATTGGTCTGGGACGACCCATATGATTTGTAAACCCAACCAACTTCACAACCTTTCTTATCAGTATTTCTGGTGCCTCAACTTTCAAACAGAGTTTTGTCAAATCCTCAACTGTTCCTTTGGAATAACTTTGTTCCTCTTCATGCTTTTCTCTTCTTTCTTCTTCCTCAATTGCCTTCCTAGCTTTTATAGGATTCAGATGTTTATCTACCTGCTCCTGGAACTTATCATAAGCATCAATAAGCTCAGGTGGTAATTGATTTCGAATGTGTCTCAACTGAAGAAAATCACCAGCTGATAGACTCCGATGCCATTCTTGACACTCGTCTATATTTCCCAATAACTCTTGCACTACTTCATCAGCCCAAGATCTGAAAATTTTTTGGACCTGATCTTCAATATTATAGTCAAATTTAAATCTGTCACTCTGCTTGATCTTTTTATATACATGACTAAATATCTTCAACCCCAATTTCCTTCTGTTCCTTGCCCTAGCATTTATCAATTCAAGAGCCCTAACTTCCTTCTGCCTGAGGAACTTCTTCCGTGCCCTGATTGCTTTCTCCGACATGGGTGGGCGCAAAACTGAAGGCCGAACAGCTTGCAACTCCATCCCAAGAAACTCAATCTTCTCCGACACTGCGCTATGAATTGCAGTATTCACCTTATCAACACGTAAACCCAAACCAAGTTCCAAACTCTTGACAACTCCTTTCCTCAACTCCGTGGCCATCATCTTCGACCCTGACGTGGCAACAACTATCTCATCCAAGTACCTAACCGCATACACCTTCACTGGCTTGTAAAACACATCAGAATCCAAACCTGAACCGATCATCTTCGGATCCAATTCCCGATTCTCTCGATTCTCCCGCAGTCGCATCTCTTGAATCTCTTTATCAAAGCCATCAAAGTAAACATTCATCAAAACAGTGCACAACCCACATTCCTGAGGAAGCCCCCTTTCCAACCAATCCCCACCCAATTCAATCACCAAAGCCTTACATTGAAACAACCTCTTTATAAAATCAATGAAAACGACATCCTTCACTTTGCGTTCAATAACAGAAACAGAGCTTCTCCACATGGAAATGTTCAAACCTGTGAGGCTTAAACCTTACGGCGAACCACCAACTAGGGTTCTCAATGGAGTTTTTTAAGTACCTTATGGCAGTGTGTCGTCCCATTCCGACGCGGCCACCGTAGCAAAACGTGACGAAGCGTTCGTCGTACACGATTTCCAACACCATCCGAATGGCTTCAATCACGACCTTCAGCTTTAAATTGGGTAAAACCAAAGGCGAAGAAGTGGTTTTACTGGAGGGCGTTAGTGTGACGCAGTATGCTTCCACGTCGAAGCGGTTTTCGCGGAGCTCCCTGGATGTGGTCTCGATGCTGAAGCGGTCCAGGAGCGAAGCTGGGCGAAAGGGGGCGGCTGCGAGATTCTGGCATGCTGTGAAGAGGACAGGGGGTGAAGCGACGACGTTTTGGATGAGGTTGGTGAAGTTGCCATGGGTGTAGTGGTTGAGAACGAGTGTCTTGAGCTGGGATTTAGTGAGGGGTTCTCATTCTATCGGTTGGAGTTGGAGTGGCAGTGTTGAAAGAAGTTTGGGTTTGAGAGAAGGGTGCTGAGAGAGGGGGAATCCGCGTGCGGTGTTGCTAGTGATGATTCTTCTTATGCGCAACAATGCGACCATGGAAGACACCCAGACAGACAAGACCAAATTTTCTTTCTTCCCAACAAAAGAGCGCAAACCCCAGTGTTTGTGTTTTGAATCCAAATGTCCCGATTCCTTCAAATAAAAAACACCTCCTCCTTTAATCATTTTAGAAAATATAATTAAATATCCGTGTGTTATTTAATTTAAATTTTCAAATAATTAAAATTAGAGATTTCAAAAAATAATGCAAAAAATATTAGAAAAATATTATAGTATTAGTATATGTACAGAGATTAGGCATGGTTGGAGTCTGATGTAACTGTAAGTAAGGTGGGTAGAAAAGATAAAACGTAAGAGAGGATTTGATTATAAAAGATAAAGGAAAACATATAGAAAAGGGAAAAAAAAACCCTCACTTGAATGTTATGAAAGAATACCTGAACTATTTTTCTAAAAAAAAAATATATATATATATATACGAGCCATTTTTTGTAATAATATTAATTTAAATTAAATTAAAATAAATTTTTATTAAGAAAATGATGATACTAATGATGAAAAATATAATCATTGTCAAACTGTCCTAATGAAAAATATAATCATTGTCAAACTATCATAATTATGTTTAGATAAAAAACTTTAGATTCCGTTATAAACTCAAGAACTTGATATTTTTTTACAAATCTATAAATTTTAGATTTCATTACATATTTAGGATTTTCAGTTACAAATTCTTTAACTCAATATGCCCAATCCGATGAAATGAACAATATCTTAAACTAATTTTATGTCCAACCCGATGAAATGAATAATATTTTAAACTAATTTTTAGACCAATTTTATCTAGATGAAAAAGAAGACATTTTAGAATAAATGATGAAGAAAAACTAATTTTTAGACTAATTTTATCTAGATGAAAAAGAAGATATTTTAGAATAAACAATGATAAATGATGAAGAGATAGACAATATCTATTTTTAATATTTTATTAGAAAATACATATTATAATATATTTGTCAGAGACATATTTATATATTTATTTTTTTATTTTAGAAGAATATTTGTTTTTTTTTTCATTTTAGAATTGTTTTTTATCCTAGTTCCATCGTATTCAATTATAATCAAACTCTAATAGTAATTATAAAATTGATAGTTTGTGTACCATTTGTTTCATTGAGAAAATTCTAAAATTAATAAATTATATATTTAATAAACTTAAATAATAAAAATAAATAAAAACATGAAAAATAATAAATAATAAAAATTTTAAATAACTTATTAATTCAAATATTAACAGAAACATATAAATTTTAAATGTTAGTTTCCCTCTTCCTGCAGTTGATGGCACAGATTATAGGTTACCTGCATCAAAATGAACTACAAATTACAAATTCTAAACTCACCTCACATGGTTCTTCCCACTTTACCACTCCTAGCTACTGCGAAGAATTCGTTGCAGTTTCCCATTTTCACGATTTTTTTTCTCTAATAATCACTATATTTTTTAGGTCATTCTTAGAATTAAATACAAAATTACTTTTTTAATAACAGTGTTAAACAAAACTTTGAAAGTTGGAACTATTATAATTTACCCTTTAAAATAAATTGGAAATTTCATTACACGGTTTTGATTTACTTTTTCAAGGCAATTTCTTCTGTGGGCAAGAATTGATATTCTCATTGGATTTAACTTTCAGAAACATGAAATCTATTTCTCATTGATGATCATTTTTTTGTAACTTGTATAAAGTTGGTTGATATTCAAATTGTATAATTTTGTATAAATATGCATTAAATACAAATGGGCTTAAACCAAAGTTTTGTTACAGCATATATATGTTAAACGAAACACTGAGGTGAGGTCCACAACCAGTCCTGGTCCACCAGAGGTTTCTATCCTCAGATTGTCACACTTGTCTTTATTTGAATCGTTCAGGAGAAACTACGTAGTTGAGAATTAAACAGATGAAAACAAATTGAAATTCGATTTAAATATTTTTCTTTTCAATTTCATTCCTAATTTAACAGTTTGCTTAATTCTAAATTAAAAATTAAGAATAACAAAAATGATATATTTAAAAATCATTAATAATTAACACATATAAATATATTTACAAAGTTTTATCATTTAATTATATTTTATTTACAATATATTTATATTTATAAAATTATAATAAATCTAAACACATTCCATATATATATATATATATATATATATATATATATATATAATCTAAATAATTTATATACGTTATTACTGAGTTAACATAACCTTATTACTTATTTTGATAGTTGATACTCTGTATTATTAATCCTTTAAACAACACACCAAGTTAAGATTTTCATATGACATTTTTTCTTTAACCATCTTACTTCATTCCACTTCTACATGCAAATTGCATGTTTATATTTGTTTTTTGTAACTTAGGCAAAATACGACAGTTGTGGTGGATTGACCCGCAGTATGCTGTAATATGGTGAGTTGGTTCAGTGTTTTTAGTCGGTTGTCAAGTTTTTCAAGAGCTAACCCGTAGGATAGATCACCCCGTAACTGCATAATTAATAATAAAAAAATTATTGTAATATATTTAATCATAAAAATAATATATAAAATTAAAAATTATAAAAAAAATTTAAATTTTTTTTATTCTAAAATATTCTTTTTACTTCAAGATAAATTTTTCTCTTCTTTTTTTTTTATTCTTATTTTTATAATTTAAATTAAATGGGTAAGAGTGACTCATAAAAAAAATGACATAAATATTTAAATTTTTTAATATAAAAAATATAAATTTTAATTATATTTATATATTTGTTATTATTATTTAAAATTAAAATTTTTAAAATAATATTTTAATTTATATTATTAATTTAAAATATATAGATTGAATTATTAATAAAATAAATATTTTATTATTTAAAAAATTTAATTTAATTTTTTTTTAATTATAACGAATCAATCTATTTAACTTACCTTTTAATAGATTAATTAAAGTCTAAAAGTCATTATAATTATAACGAATAAGTTCCATCCAATTTTTTACATATAAAAACCGGGACTGACCGCAGAAGCACAAGAGAGTATTTTTCTTTTTCCCTTATAAAGTTATGTAGGTTTATTTTATTATATATATGAAAACAAAAACTTTTTATATATTTCTTATTGTTTATTATCGATACTGTTGTGCTCTTCTATCTTGTCAGAAAACTAGTCGTGCTATAAACCACCATCACCGAATAAGCGACGACTGTAGTGTCTTAACCGAGAAGAATCTGCTGAAAACGACGATGGCGAGTGAAAAGTTGGTGCTTGCTGTGATCAGGGCCGCGAGGCCAACATTCCGCAATCGACACGACAAAATTGCCTTTGCCGTTCACTCCTCTTTCCTCGCCTCCGGCTATGTCCTCACCGCCACGGGTCCCCAGGCCCTCTCCGACGATGCCTTTTCTAACCCATCGAATGGTACTAATATTTAAAAAAAATAAAAATTAAACCCTAGTTTTCCCTTAATTCTTCTACTTTTCATTGAACATTTTGATGATGAATTTTTCGATGTTTGTTGATGTGCTGCTATTTCTGTGTAGACGAGGTGTCCGCTGATCACTGGAACGAGTTAAACGATGAGTACGCGTTCGTTTACGCGAATCCGGAAAAGGGTTCGGAGAAAGTGCTTGTTAAGTGTCTCGTCATGAACGACAATTTGCTCGTTCATGCTTTGTCTCAAGGGTCTTCCGAGCCTTTAAGCCTCGAGATTGGGTAAATGATACTTTTCTCTTTTTGTTTTGGCTTAAAATTTGATGTTTTTATGTTCTGATTGAGAAGTTAGGGTTTTTGAGTGTGTTTTATTTTTCGTGTTTAAATTGTGCTTATTTCGACACTGGGAATAATGAGTTTGATTTTTTTTTTCTTCAAAGTTGAAATTTTACCATATTTATTTTAAGTATTTGATTTCATTTGGGTTTAATTGTATTTTCCTTATATTTTGGGAGGTGGGGCTAGTTGGATGTTTTTTTAGTATGTGATATGCACAAAAGTTTATAGTCATGCTGGTTGGGTCTTTTGTTTTGTTGAATTGTGAGCTCACTTTGGAATGGGGTTTGGGTGTGACTTTTTATATGCAGTGTTGGGGATTATGCTCGAGAGGACGGGGGCAGCAATTATGCTCAGCAGTTCAAGAATTTGGATAAGCTTGTGAAGAGAATCGACGGGGATATCTTGTCTAAATTAGAAGGTTCTGCTAATGCCAACTCATCAAGTAGAAGGTGATTTTGGGTTTGTGAACTTTGTGTCTGTGTCCTTTTTTAATGTTAACTGGGAATGCATATCTTATGTAAATCTGTGATAGTGAATGCTTCAAGTTTTCTGAATTAGGCCATTGTATTAAGTTTAAAACTTTTACATTGATAGTGAATGAAAATTAAATGCCACATTTTTTGTAGATAACTAGTACCAAGAGTGTTGAGAGTTGAACTAGTTTTAGTGTTAGTAAAGATTTTGAAGGACCTGTGTGCAGCCTCCTGTTTTCATATTGTAAGAATGTTGCGTCAGAAAATCTAGCCATTTGTTTTAATGTTGGGTTGTTGTATTGGACAACTGTGGCATTACGCTTATATGAAAGTTTTATGCTATAATGTTTTATGAACTGGTACCCTCTTTGAAAAATTGTCTTCTATACAGCTCAGAAACAAGGGACATAACTAGACAAGAGAAACCTGAGCCTGTTGGTGGATTTGGTGAACCTGCTGGTTCAACTCAGTAAGGGTTTAATATTACGCTGTTGCTTTCACCATTCATTGATTTTTGTTACTGCTCAGTGGGTTAGTTATCAATTCTGTCATTTTACACACATTTACTGTTAAAGATCTATATATCATGTAGTTGATGTTCCATGCTTGAAAATAAGGAAAGCATTCTGTGTTATGTGCTTATTGCTGGGTTTCGAAAGGTTTGGTGTTGGTGGAGGGGACAGTTTATGTATCTGACTTATGCATGTCTTCAATTACTATGTTCTATACATGATGGATGTTTCTCTGATCCTATCAAGTTGAATGTCTTGATCTATATGTCTTCAGTTAATACTTATTTCTGCATCTCTACTAAACTAGTTGACTGGCACACAAAATTGCGAGTTTAGTTTTGTCTGAACCTAGCCAAGTTCACCCAAGTCTAATATGGAGTGAGTTTTCTGCAAGTTGGTGTGTTTTGGGGAGCTGAACTAATAAACTTGGACAATTTTTTGAGTTATTTCATGAATATGACAACCATGGTTTCCCATGGAATATCTGTGTATGTGTGGCAACTGTAGTTTATGCACCCACTGCACATGGGCTGAGGTTTAATGCTCAGAGATCTTGGGATTGATTGATCTTGGTTTGTGAGAACAGATTCTACAGCGATCATACTAGCATATATGATTGTAGTCTGAATGAACTTTTAACATTGTCCCCAGACCATTCTGTGAATGCTCCAATTTAATAGGCTTCTGGTTCCTATAGAGAAGAGATAGCATTACTGAACTAGATAAATAGACTGAAATGAAAGAGCAATGTTCCCAGGTCCATTAAAAAATCCCCTTTAGCCCCAAGTTATGACCAAAATCCCCCACCACAGTTGAATCTCTATATTTAGTCAGATTCATCAGATCTGTTTTCTCCCAATAAATAAATTTCTCTTCTAATTCTTTATATAAGTCGTTCCGTGCTATTCCCTCCCAAGTCATGTATATTCTTATGCCCGCATGAATACTTGTAATGGCCTCTTAGACCCATATCTACTGGCAGTTGAGTCGCTCTTCCTATCAATGCCACTTGCCTAAATGTTTTTTGATGAATGACAAATTTCTTCATTGTGAATTGAAGGATGAACATATATTTTGGGCTAATTCTCTATGGAAAATGGTGATTTCCAATATGCATTCCTCAGAGAGAGAAATAATTTACTGTTGCTTAATCGCCGAGCAGACATTTTTGTCATTTTTCCTCATAACTGGAATACTTACTAGAAATGAAACCATCAGTTGCCTATGTGCCAAGCTGTCTTTGTCATCATTCTTTTGAATATTCCCTGCATATAACTGCTACTTGCTTTTGTACTAACTAATTGTGTTTTTAATTTTTTGTTTTGCTTGTGTACAGAATTATTTTCCCTTCAGTTCCCATTGGTTCTGGTAGTGATCTTGTTCCTGGGCCTCCTGCTGGAGTGCTTCCTTCAAGGTATTCTTACCTGCATTACTTTTTCATCCGCTTAGCATAGTTATTAACCCCTCCGCCTTTTTCTAATTCTTTTATCCCTTAAAACTTTCCTCCCTTGATTTCAGGGGTGGTCATGGCATTGGTGGGAGCATGCTTGTAGGTAAGTTTAACATATTTCAATGTAGTTATATGAAATTGGGTATTATTTTTGCATAACCATAATCATTGATGCTAAGTTTAACATTTGTAAACAGGGCCTAATGACCCCAGATGGTTTGGTGGTATTGGTGGAGATCCTGCTTTTCCTAGCGGATTGCCGTAAGTTGCTTAGATCTCTTTCTTTTTTTTTCTTTTTTTTTTCTGGGTTATCACTAGTTAAAGGCTGTGCAACCTTTAAAGCACACCTTACATGCTAGGGCGAGGGAAAGGATCCGACTTCACGCGGGGCCAATGTCACTTCACTGAAGTGTACATCACTTGCTCCTTCACTGTGTTTTCTGTGAGAGAGCCCGGCTAATGGGCAATGGGTTTCATCGACCCCAACCCATGAAAAACATCAGCTTTTTTGTGCAATACAACTAATGAAGTTACCTATAAAATGCGAGAATGTCACCCACTGCCTTATCAAATTCAACCATCAAAACAAACCGTTACTTTTTTTTTTCCATTCAACTGTAATTCTAAACTTTACATGTTTAGGCAATTTCTATGACCAATTAAAACTTTCATTTATTGATTTGTTATAGTATATCTTCACCACCTACAAGCTTCTGCTGTTTAAGTTTTTCCCCCTGATATCCAAGCACCTTTGGTGTATTTGATCTTGTATTTGTTTCCTATTGCAGTTTCATGCCTCCAAGTAGGTGAATCGGTCTGTTTTATCTTGTGTGTAGTTGTTTTCTGTTCTCTTTACTTGCTCAATGGTTTTCACTTGTGTCACAACTTGCATTAGTTTTAAAATGTCATTTAGCCCAAAACATTTTTAAGAGTCTTATTTTTATTCTATCTTTTATATTCTTTGGTTTCATGTCACAACCAGCATCCATTTTAAACATCTTTTGATTTAAAAGTTAATTTAACTAAATTTTATGATTTTTCAGCTAAAAAACTGTACTTATAAAAGTTTCGTATTACTTTTTTACTTCCACAATAATGGAAAAATGATTAGTGGTGAAAAGAATGGAGAAAAAAGCGAGGAAGTACTGGGTAGGATGAATTTTACTTTTTAGCTGTCTCTTTATTATTATTAGACAGCGTATCTTCAGTGGGTTTGGTGCCTCCTGCCTCGGGTTTAAGTACCCCTTGTGCCTAAAGGAGTTGAGGGTGCCATTTGCCTTGACTAGCCTGTGGCTTGTACCTGTGCTAATTTTTTAAGCTTATCTGTGGGTATAAATCTATGTTATGTAAACAGGGGTGTTCCTCCGGGCGCGCGTTTTGATCCTTATGGTCCTCCTGGTGTTCCTGGTTTTGAACCCAACAGATTTGCGAGGTATTGCTCAATGATATCATGTGCTCCTTTTAAGTATATTGCATTAATAATGTCATTTGTATTTTAACCGGTGTACGTCTTTCTTGTATTGTTCTCTTTTGTATATTGTTTTATTTTCTTGTTCATCTTTGTCTTTTTATGCATGTTATTTTACATACAGTAGCATGTCTAAAGTGGGATTATTATTGTTAAAGGGTTAGTGGTTCAGGTAGAACAATATAAAGTAGTGAGTTAAGGATATTCGATACCTTGAATTTTAAAAGTAGATGATCTCGAAAACACTACCTTAAACTTGCTAAGGGTTTAGGGCAAATGTTTAGCTGGTAAACTTGTTATGCTTTAAAAGCCTAATTTAAAGTTTTCTTCTCAATTGCTTGAAAGAATCCCATTTTTTGGTGTACAAATATGGAGATATTTAAAATAGGTAACGTGTTACAGGAACCCTAGGAGGCCAGGATATGATGCTCATCCAGATTTGCAACATTTTCGGAGAGATGCCGATTCAGACTACATATAGATATATATATATATATATATATATATATATTATAGTTGTCGCAATATAGACAAGTTCTACGGACAAGTTGTGTTTTCCAGTAAATTTACTGAAACAATTTGAGCAAACAATTTGAGCAAACAATAGTTCTATTAGGTTTATTCCAGGACAGGGACTTACGATAATAGGGTGGTTTGAGCTTTGTGCATAGTTACTTATTGACATAAATTTTTTTATTTAATAAATACTGGTTTTCGTACCTTCAAATTTTAATTCCTCGAAATTGTTTCAAGTATGTTGCGTTTTTATTTTAATCAATTTCTATTTTCTGTTTCAGCAGAACACTGTAGATATAATGATTTTAAATAATTGAATTTTTTTTACACTCAATAATTTCATCCAGTTCCATTTATAATAGATCCCCTCTTAACAGTACAAGCTTCGTAAATTTTAGCCACAGGGTATGGAGTATATTATTAATGGACATGTTTGGTTGCACTAAGTTTCCTTTTGAGTTTTTGAAATGATTCAGGAGTTACCATTTGTCTGTTCATGTAAATTAATTTAACAGTCACTGTAATTTTTAGAAATTATAATAAATAGTTCTTTCGAATGGAGTTATGAAAGGATTTATCTCTACAGTATATTTTAGAAATAAAATTCGATGATTAGAAAATCAATTTAATCAACGTTTTAGATTTTAATTAAATTAAATACGTTTAATATATATTACATAAAAACTGTGTTGGTATTTATTTTCATAAAAAACTGTTTTCAAGAATTTTCAGCTGTTTTATTAATTCACTGTTATGAACATTGGTCAAATTTATGTATAGTTGCATACAAATACAATATTTAAATAACGGTGATAATATAAATAAATAATTATATATCATTTTTTGTTATCAAACGAAATTTGATTATCTTAAAATAATTTTAGAATAAATTTATTCAACTAAAAGTTTATTTTAAATCAAAATTTATAATTAATTATTCAAATAATATAGTTTTCTCAGCTTTTCTAGTAGTGGGTAAACAATAACTGCAATTCATGGTTAATTTTACTCTTTATATATATATATATATATATATATATATATATATATATATATATATATATATATATATATATATATATAAATTGTTTTTTCAAATACTAAATGAAAAGAAAAATCTAACGCGAAGAGTAATGTTATCATGTTATGTAGTCATAAATAAATTATTATTGAGTTTTATGGACGCTAATAGTTCATAATCATTAAACTCTTAAATTAATAAAAAATATATAAATATGTAAAAGAACTCTTTAAGATAAATTTAATAATATGAAACTGTTTAGTTTTATTTAATTTAATACATGTAAAAAAATAAAGCTTATCCATAAATTCTGTTTTGGATGGACCTGCAATTGTTTTGTTACTATGTCGTAGGTAATAAAATATTTATAAATTTTATTAATACTCTACTACTTTAGTAGAGTGCTGTTTTTTAATTCTATTTTTTATTTATAAGTTCAACTTTAAAAACTCTGGGTGAAGTATTCGAGTTGAATTTCACTTGTACATGTTGCTAAATTTATACTCATCATTTCAATAATTGATCACAAAATGACAAACACAACTAATGTGAAGATATTAAGCCAAAAGATTTAAATATTACTAAGTTGAATGCTTCAACTAAATTTTTTATTGGTCTAGTTTATTTAAAAAAAAAACTATATTTTTGAATTTATCACAGTTTTATTATAGTTGTTAGTACTTAAATTATTTGACTTCTCATAACCTTTTTTTAAACCATGCTATTGTCTTTTATTAACTTGTTTCAGCATAATTTTAAAATTTCCTTAATTAATAATCTGCTAAAAAATGCTTTTTATTCGATTGAATAATTTAGTTATATTATTCACCCATTCACATTTAAAATAGAGGCTAACAATTTATTTCCAAGTTTTTTTAGACCCACCACTCCGTATAACATATTTGAAATATAAATTAATCTGACAGCAATTCATTGATATAACAGAATTTGCCAATTACAAAAATATAGAACATTTACAGTCATTTTAAATAAATAAAGCTGTTGGTTTCTTGAACCCTTATTGGCCAAGGAAAAAGGTTTAATAACTCAATTTAATTATATTTTAAAAATAAAAAAAAATTAGCCTGTTAGATCAATTTTAATTTAACTATTTTTTTTCAAATATTAACATATTTATATAAAATTAATTAATTAAAAATTATATTTAAATAAAAATAAAAAATATTTGAAATTTTAAATTTTATTAATAAAATTGGTTCTTTTAATATATAATAATTTAATATATAAAAATTATAAAAGATAAATCTATTTAATCTTAAAATAAAAAATAAAAATTTATTTTTTATTATCATTATTTATTATTAATAATTTATTAATTTAAAATAATAATTAATCTTAATCATTATATATTTGAATAAATAATTATTAAATATTTATTTTGATATTTATTCTTATGATAAATTAATCACTATTAAATTAATTTATAATATATATATATATATTTAATAAAATAATGTTATTTTTATTTTATTTAAAAAATATTATTTTATAAATGAGTGGATATACGGATTACACTAACGTAAATTCATATATGTCATTGTTTAACAATATCAAAATAAATATAAATTATTTTAAATTATAATTTTTTTACCGTATAAAATTCTTTATGTCGTTGTAATATTTTAATTAACTAAAATTATATTTTTTTTACTACAAATGTCGGAGTTTTTATAATAATTTTTAATAAATTAGTTATTAAAAACTATATTAAAATCTATAAATTTATGATGATTTTTAAGTAGTTGAAGTATAAATCTTTATATGAAAAATAGTTAAGTTTACTACATCTTTACTTTTTTCTTTTTTTTAAGTTTGTAAATAAGATAAGAAGCTATAGAGGTTGCAGTTGGAGGTATTATTCCATAACTGAAAAAAAAAAAAAAAACTCTTTTTTAAATTACGACCTCATGCAAGTTATTCTCAATTATTCGGAAAAGTGGAAAAAGAAAAGAACATGGAATCGTCATTGCTATCGTTTGTTTTTTGTTTTTTGTTTGTAATATAAAATTTGTGGTGCGTGTGGGTTTGTGTTGGGTGGGGACTGTAGGCCCCATAGCATGTTTGTTGCACAATAAACCCTTCGGATCTTCAAGGGTTGGGTTATGTTATGGATGCTCTTTTTATTCTACACTCATTTCCACTACTTTTTACTTTTCATGCTTTATTATTATTATTATTATTATTATTATTATTATTATTATTATTATTATTATTATTATTATTATACTTTTTTCTTGTTATGATGAAAAATATGCAGAAGCTGACAAAAATTGTTAGATCTATTGTAAACATTGTTTCATCCAATCATTCACAATCTTACTTGCTTGAGCTTCGTGTTGATCATAGCATCCTTTTCATAGGTAACCGGTGGCTTCAATTGAAACCACTATTCTCAGTGACAATCACATAAATAGCTTTCTTTTCAGAAAAAGTAACCCACATATTAAATATCTGTGATTACAAAATAATGATACGAGGGTCAAGTGGTGAGGGACCAATGAACACAACCATGTTTAATCTCATCAAAATTGAGGCCTCAGGACCACAAGCTTACCACTTTTGATGTGACCAGAATTGTCACCAAATTGGAATCAAATGGATGGAGCACTAAATCTAAATACCAATACAAAGAGAGAATACTAGTGATTAAACAACTTTTGTTTATTAATTTTTTTATATACAACTTTTTAAACAACCTTTTTATCGTAGTTGTTCACTCAATGTTTTCTTTTCTAACTTCAAAATAAATTCATACCTTTTAAGTAATTAAACACTTTTTTTCTTTAAGAAACAGACCCAGATTATGCTAGGTTATCCTGGGATTTAACTTATTTACCGCAGACATATATTATATATTATTATTATTATTAACTATGTTTTGTTAAATCTATTTTCTTAAATTTTTAAACAAAAAGTAGAATTAAAACTACATTAATAATTTTTTTAAAAGGTCAAATCTATTATAATTTGATGATATAGAAATCTGACTTTTACTAGGTGCCTTTGTAGAGAGTTTATCGTCTTCACCGTCCAAACACAAAGATTAGCTATAATTATTCGTACGGAACAAGCTTTTATAAATCGTTACACACACAAAAATTCTATATTCCAGTGGAAAAAAAAATGGAATGCGGTGATCAATAAAATATGACTTTGACTAATAAAAGAAATATATTACTAAGATTTGGTTGACTTAAATAGAATCGATTGAGTTGGTTATTTAAGAAAAGGGATTAAATGACTTTGGTTCAGAGTTCAAAATCGAATACAACTTGTTTTTCAATGACAAATCCAACTTGTTAATGCAGATACTACGGTTTATAGTATATAATATTTTAATAATAATACTTATTATCAAAATTTAATATATCAATAAAATTTATTATTGATTATTTTATTCAAAATGCTTACATCAAAAGGATTCAATTATTATTTTATTTGGACGTTTAATTTCGATTTAAATTCAAACTTGATTTTATGGTTGTGGGGACTCGTTTATCCGGATAATTTTTAATTGATAAGAAAAGGTAACGCAATGTTGAAAATATTTACTATTATTATTATTATTACTTTAATATAATTGTACTATCCTTTTTATGAACATTTTTATTTTATGAAAATTTTAACTATTTATTAACTAACAAAACTAATAAAAAGTATGACAGTGAAGTGAAAGTAATAATATAATTAATTTAACAATTTCCTCACTCATGATTATACATAAGGATGGACTATATTTAAAATGTATTTTAACTGTGACTAAGTTACACTAGAAAAAATGAAGATTATATCAACACTTTAAGAATTATTGAATTGATGGGCACAAGGGTGGTTAATTATTATTCATAATAATAGTTTTAGTTAGAGTTTTTAAATGTAGGCAATTAATTTGTGCTATTATCTATTTAAAAGGAATACATAAAAGAGAGAGAAAGAAAGAATAAATAAAAAAGAGGAAGAATCTGGGAAGATAATGAATATTTTATTAAAGAGGGACATGTGAGTCTATGTTGTCCGCGCGACCGAATAGAGGCCACGCGCCACGGGTTTTGGGTTGAACCAACAACTGTGCGCCACGTAAGCAGAGCGAAGGGAGCTTGAATTGCGTCCAGGTTCAATCACACTTCTCTTTATAACGAAACCTTCGTTCTCCATCTTGTTCTTGAGAAAAACCAACCGAATCTACTCTTTCATTTTCTAGCTTAGATTCCCTTCTCCAATGGCTCTCGCCGTCACTACCACTTCTTCCTCTTCAGCAGCACCCTCCACTTCCTTCTTCTCGCACCTTGGATCTTCCTCTGAGGCCAAAGGTGCTAATTTCCGTTCCTTTCCCTTTCCCTTTTTAACGAATAAGTAACTTGATCTGAATTTCTCGCTTCTTATCACGTGCCAGGGTTTCGTTAATTAATGCATGCTTTTTTTCTGTTTTCAGTTCCGCAAATCGGTTCGTTTCGGTTTCCGGAGAGGACCCTTGTTTCGTCCGGTGTTGTTAATTTAACTCAACGACGCTCCTTGGTGAGGCCTCTCAATGCCGAACCGCAACGGAATGATTCTATTGTTCCTCTTGCAGCAACTATTGTTGCTCCTGGTACGTTTTCTGCGTTCCTTTGTCAACACATTTCCTTCTTTTCAGGGAATTTTCTATGTCAAGGCTTTTTTCTGGCCTTGATTAAAGGCGATTTTAACGGTTTTTTTTTTCAATGTTGTGGTCTGTGATGTTCAGAGGTTGAGAAGGAAGAGGAAGATTTCGAGCAATTAGCGAAAGACCTTGAAAATGCATCTCCTCTTGAAGTTATGGACAGGGCTCTCGAGAAATTTGGGAACGATATCGCTATTGCATTTAGGTAGGTTCTTAATTTTATGTGTTGGTGCTTGTGTTGCATGGTGCTTTGTTTATGTCGAATTTGCATAAGCATGTCAATGTTTCTTTTGAATTATACCTTCAGGCGTTGTTATTAGGGATTGGTGGGAGGATTTTCAAATATTTCGCAGGAGTGTCCAGAAATTAATGTCACGTTCACATCTTTTAGTAGATGGTGACGTACGAAGACAAACAGGAGAAAAAGGATTTCTAACTTTCTCTTGAATATATAAATATTATAGTAACATATTTCTACAAATCTTTAAAAAGAAAGTATTAATTAAAATAAGTGAATATATTGAATGTGGTGAAAAGACAAAAAGAAATGTCATTAAGAACATTAATAGGAGAATACATAGAAAACATCGCAAAGCAAGTAGGAAGATTAATAGGAGAATGATGTGGGAGGATTAAGAACCATTTTGCTGGAAACTATACCTTTTAGTAAATGTTTTCGTGTGTCGCTCCTCGAATTGCCAAATCAATATGAAAATTGCAGAATCGATGTGAAGCGATCAGTAGAATACATTCAGTCTTTTCTACATGATCGACGGTTGAAATATTTCTTTACTTTTTTGTATTATGTTGTGACAAATTTGTTCTGCTTCGGGTTATTTTGATTAGCACGTTTAGTTGTTCATTGTATTTGAAAGTTGTAACGTGTATTTTATTCCGTGCATGTTGCCGCACAATTATCTTTGCATGACTAAGTTATGGATTTGGATTCTAATGAGTAGTTTTGCCTTTCAGTGGTGCTGAAGATGTTGCTTTGATTGAGTACGCCCATTTGACGGGGCGACCCTACAGAGTGTTCAGCCTGGACACTGGGAGACTGAACCCAGAAACTTACAGATTTTTTGACGCAGTTGAGAAGTATTATGGAATTCACATTGAGTACATGTTCCCTGATGCGGTTGAGGTTCAGGCCTTAGTAAGAACCAAGGGGCTGTTCTCATTTTATGAGGATGGCCATCAAGAGTGCTGCAGAGTAAGGAAGGTGAGACCCTTAAGGAGAGCCCTCAAGGGTCTCAGAGCATGGATCACTGGACAGAGAAAAGACCAGTCTCCTGGTACTCGGTCTGAAATCCCCGTTGTCCAGGTTGATCCTGTTTTTGAGGGAATGGATGGTGGAATTGGCAGTCTGGTGAAGTGGAATCCGGTGGCAAATGTTAATGGTCTAGACATATGGAACTTCCTTAGGACCATGGATGTGCCCGTAAATTCATTGCACTCCCAAGGATATGTTTCAATTGGCTGTGAGCCATGCACAAGGCCGGTTTTACCTGGACAGCATGAAAGAGAAGGAAGGTGGTGGTGGGAGGATGCCAAGGCCAAGGAGTGTGGTCTTCACAAAGGTAATTTAAAGCAGGAAGATGTCGCCCAGCTTAATGGAAATGGAAATGGGGCCACCCATTCAAATGGCTCTGCCACTGTCGCTGACATTTTCAATTCCCAGAATGTGGTCAGCTTGAGCAGGACTGGAATTGAGAATTTGGCAAAATTGGAGAACCGAAAAGAACCATGGCTTGTTGTGCTCTATGCACCATGGTGCCGCTTCTGTCAGGTAAAACACGATTCCGTAAACTTCAATACTCTGTTGATGTCATCTCATCAAGGTTCATTTGGTTTGAAATTTCTATTATCTAATGAGATGTTTATTGTGAACTGAAACAGGCCATGGAGGAATCGTATGTGGATTTAGCTGAGAAGTTGGCAGGGTCGGGAGTGAAGGTTGCAAAATTCAGAGCGGATGGAGAGCAGAAAGAATATGCAAAGAGTGAACTGGAGTTGGGAAGCTTCCCCACAATACTTCTCTTCCCCAAACACTCTTCTCGACCAATTAAGTACCCTTCTGAAAAGAGAGACGTTGATTCTTTGGTGACATTCGTGAATGCCTTAAGGTGATGGTCAATTGAGTATTCGCTCAATGTCCAGTCGTACCACAGATTTTGGCAATTCGGTGAAAATGGGAATGACAGTTTTGAGACTGGCAATAAAATTCTCCAAGTGAAAATGGAAATGGCAGTTTTGATAGCAAAACGAAGATTCTCCATTGGTTGTATTCCTGTATATTTTTAGATAACCTTTCTCAAAAGTATAATTAGTGTAGTCATTCTATGAGTATGTGATTTCCTGTTTGGGTTAGACCATTAGATTTATGGTGTGTTATGCTGTTACTTCATTATTAGAATCTACTTTTGATTTTATTTTTTAGATTTGCCAAATTTCCTGAGACCTAATGCAAAATATTAACAACTTTGAAGGCTGTATAATTAATGTTGGGTGTGATATAATATCCATGCCTCTTAGGTTTTCATGGATTGGTTTTCTCTGTTTTATGGATTGCTTTTGTTAAAAGGTTCTGGCCAAACTGGAAGAAAAAACAAATTTGGATTTAATCAGTGGTTTCCTATGGTTCTTCCCTGTATCCAACATATTATGTTATGTCTAGCAGGAGATATTTGAATTAATAAAATATCAGTTCCTTAAGGTTTCAGTTTCAGAGATATCTCGCGGTAATATTTTCCATAATTATTCATTGCTAATATAATGGTAGTTCTAAAATATTTTTAAAATATAAATTAAAAAAAAATTAATATTACAATTGTAATAAATTAAACTTCATAAACATGTAATTTTTAATAAGTTTATATACATAAGAAAGAGGGAGCAGACTAAAATTAATAATATAACTATTGTGAAATATCAGTATCTTTGGGTTGTTGTTGTAACAAAAGGTTTTTCAAAAACACAGTAAGTAATTAAGATTTCAGAGAAAAAAAAAACGTAAAAAGGAAAAATTAACATTAGTTTTGTTATTTTTTTTTCTAATTTTAATTCTTTCTAAATTTGTAGTTTGTATTTATGGTCCTTAATAAGTTTTAGTCTTTATCGTATATTGTTTAGCACGTATATTGATTTTTATTCCAATTTCTAATAACTTCTAATAATGTGTGCATTTTGTTTTTTCTTTTTTCTCAAAAACTTTTTTCTCTATTTTGGTCCCAAAAAAATATATATTTATGTTTTAGCTCCCGTGGAATCTTCGTTTAAGTTATCTTACAATTAATATATGTTTTTTTTTCTTAGAATATATATATATATATATATATATATATATATATATATATATTGGAGTTTTTCTATTTCATTTTACCCTAAAAAAATAAGGAATACTACAAAAAAAATTGCAAACCCCAACTAAACTACTCACATTAATTTTTTTCCTTAAATAAAAGTAATGTTTAAAAAAACACACTTAATGATAAACAAAAGGGATCAAGATATAAATACAATTTGATTAACAACAAATTTATAACTTTTTTCTTCAAATAAAAATAATATATAACTTTTTTATTCAAATAAAAAAAATATTTTAAAAAATACACTTAATGATAAAAGAAAAGCCATCTAAATAAAAATAAATAAGAATCTGTTATAACCATAAACAAAATTCGCACATTTATAAAAGCCAAAAATTTGTTTAAGTATATATATATTTTTTAAGATAAGATCTAAATAAAAAGTTTAGTATACTAAAGTGAAAAAATAATTAATAATTTGAGAATTTTAAAATACATAATAAAAAGAGTCTTAAAACAATAAAATTTTACCTGTTTATAAAACATAAACGAAGATAAATGATAGCCAACAAATTAATAAATAACTATTAATAATAATTAGAGATGATAGTTACAATGTGTGAGAAGTTTTTTTATTTTAGTTATTGGACTTGAAATTAATAAATACCCAGAGAAAATGTTCTCTACCGAAAAAGGGTCTTGATATATTTCAATCTTATGTGTTTGCATAGAACTTGTTTTACAAGTTTACAAAATTGGTCTAACTTAATCAAGTATATGTTTTTATAGGTTGAATTGAATTAACTTATTTTGGATCTTAAATTTCTACACATAAAAAAAAAAAAAAAACTTGCATAGGGTTCCCTGTAGATTGTCCAACCAAAGTGCAGCAGAGGATTAGCTATAAGTACTCTATAACCCATGTCTAATGGGCTTATGGGCTCATGGAAAAATTCGCAAGTAAACATTCACTGATTGAACAACTTTAAACATGCTTTTGTACCCTCCCTGTAAGTTCAAATAATGATTGGATTATTATATTTAGCTTTTTTGTGCTACACATATGAAGCTCAAGAGCTTTGTTCCCCTCTTAAAGTACTTGCACCTATAAGTACTTCCAAACACAATCGTCTTACTCCATTCAATGGAACTCGGCAAGGGTTTTCACGCTCAGATTTTGAGCATTGAGACGATGATGATACATTGTACTGTATAAGTTGTGTTGTATGAACCTTATCTTTGTCTTTCGATTGCCTCCAATGTAAGTCATCCAATTTGTTATGAATAAAAAAAAACTAATAATATCTTTAGCATTACAATAATATGGATAATCTCTTAAATTATTTCTAGATCATTTAATACAGTTTTAATAAAAGTCACATATCCAAGTGAACATAAGATTGTATGCGACAATTTGAAGAATAATTGACAGAAAAAAACAGGAATCAAATAATGGTCTGAACAAGGCTTTTTTTTTTTTTTTTTTTTTTTTTTCTCTAGCTAATTTCTACTAATCTATATTAGTACAAACTGTTACAAAAAAATTAAGCAAATACAATTTTATTAACAAGCCTAGACTTTGAATTATTTCTTCCAAGTTTAACGAACTTATTTTCATATATGTTATTATTATTATTATTATTATTACTACTTTGTAAATATTATAATTAGAATGTATCGTAATCAAATACTTGTTTACACAAAACTTTCACATATCTATAATGTGAAAGTTTTGTGTAAACAAGTATTTGAAACAGACATAGAACATACATAGGGAAATAGGTCGTCTCAGGTTTGAAACATTATGGGGTGCAGGAAGAAAGTGACCATTTTTGAGATCTATAATGTGATTTTATTGACCCTAGTTGGGGGTTAACGAGGGTGTTAACCAAATAAAACAAGTCATTGGGCATCTACAACATGGACAAAAATTAAGCAATATGTGAAATTCTGGCCCAGTTACCTCAAAAATAAAATTATGTAATTATTAAATCGTCCAAGAATACTCTTGGCATTTTATATCAGTCATGGCCCAAATTAATTCCTGTCATCAAAGCTATTCAAATATTTACAGTAGTACAGGACTGCAGATTTCTTTTCTTTGGATTCCCATTTCTGATTGCTTGATTATTGAGCCCTTTTTAATTAATTGTTGAACCATGTTTTATTTCTTCATTAACTAGCTTATTGATGTCCAAACAGAACATTGGTGCAACGTTTTACTCAATTTGTATATAATCTTTTTTCTGTTAAAGTATTATTCTTTCTCTCAACACTTGCCAGTTTGCTGTTGAACAAGTCTATCTGTGGTTGTTCAACATCATCCACACGCTCTTTCAATCCATAAAAAAGAGCGTATTTTAGTGGAGATGGGTTGAGACATCTTAATATCCTCCACTTTTGTTGATTGATGTTAAATTGGGTATCTTAGCAAACATAATCATGGTCATTCTTTAGCTAATTATTGCGATTGTCATTGAAAAATAAAAGCTTCCTAGTGGCAAATATACGGTGGTAAAGTTGGTAACCGAAAGTGCCCTTTATGAGATCAAGTAAGCAATGGATTATTATCTATCCAAATACTATTTGTCAGTGGTGAAAGACTGAAATGATGATTAGAAAATCAGTTTTTTTTTTTCATAAAAAACTATCAAGTTAATAGTCTGATGATATTCAACGATGTGATGATAACTTATTGCTACTCTAATTTGTCTTTTTTTAATAATAGAGTGAAGAAGATTGTAAGAAAAGTTATAGAATTATTGTAAGTACTGAATTTAGAGAACCTTTTCAAAGGCAGACACGAGGTGTTCAACTGGTAAATGTTGAACTGCCAAGAAAAAAAAACTGCTTTTAAGTCGTAAAGCTTGGTTTCTTTGGGGGAGAAATTGTGTGAAAAAAGTGGTTTAATTAGGTAACTAATTTTTATTGTACAATTACTATATACTAGTATTGAGATTTGTTTAAGAACTTTGTATCTGATTAGAGAATGTGGCAGAAGTTGGAAGCAAGAGAAAAGAAGCTTTTGGATGTAGCAGTGAAGAAGCAACGTCTCTCTGCAGAAGCCAGGCTGTTGTGTTGAAATTGAAGAATCTTCTTTAAGTGTGTGCCACAAAGATAATTGGTTAAACCAATGTAAAGCCATTGTCTTCCCCAGTAGAGCCTTTAATGCCTTCATACAATGAAGCTACCAGTTTCTTTAATTTTTTATTTTTGTAAAAAGGTATTTTTAATTGAAATTTATACAAATACTTTTTTAAAATATATTTTTATAAGATTGTCAACAAATAAATTTCTTTTAATTCTTTAAAAACATGTCTTTAAACACTAGATAATAAGACGTTATTTTAATAGTTGAGACTAAAGATTAATTTAAACTAAAAAGTTGGGAATTGATTTTTTTTGTTTTTTTGTTTTTATTATCGTGTGACTACATTGGAATTTCTAAAGTTTGTGCATAGAGATGTTACTGTTCTTGACGGCTTCCCCTGAATTGAACGAAGGATGTTTTAGATGAGTGGGAAGATAAAAATCCGTTGAATTTGAAGCGACAAGGCTTGTGCTTCACACACAGAACAGCCAAAGTCAAAATAACGCCCACACACTAACTTCAACTCACAAATATACGCGCTGCGCTGTTTGTGTGCCACTTCCCCACTCACGCAATTTCCTAAAGAAAAAGAAAAACCACCAATGTCCAACACACACTCAAACATTCCGATCGCCAACCCAATTAAGAAACTAAGAACAATCTCAAAACACAATGCGAGAAAGCGAAGCTGAGGGGCAAGACAGACTGATTTGGAATTGGATTTGAAGTTTCCAATGATAAACCCAAATTATCTAACCTTTTCATTCTCACTGTTACTACTTCTAGCGTTTACCCAACTTCATGAGGCCACTTCCGACCAAACAAACGCGCCATTCGTGGGCGTGAACATCGGCACAGACGTCTCCAACCTCTTACCTGCACCCGACCTCGTCAACTTCCTCGAACACCAAAAGATCACTCACATCCGTCTCTACGACGCCAACCCCGACATCCTCCGCGCATTGTCGGGCACCGACATCCACGTCACCATCAGCGTCCCCAACAACCAGCTCCTCGCGATGGGTTCCTCCAACGCCACCGCTTCCTCCTGGATCCGCAAAAACGTCGCCGCATTCCGCCCCGGCACCCGCATCACCGCTGTTTCCGTCGGCGACGAGGTCCTCACCACCCTCCCCTCCGCTGCGCCGCTTCTCCTCCCCGCACTGCTCTCCCTCCACGCCGCCCTCGTCGACTCCAACCTCCACAACGACGTCATTGTGTCCACTCCACACTCCGCCTCTATCATCCTGAACCCTTTCCCTCCCTCCCAGGCCTTCTTTAACCAAACCCTGGAAACCTTCATCTTACCTCTCCTCCATTTCCTCTCCCAAACCAATTCCCCCTTAATGCTCAACCTCTACCCCTACTACGTCTTCATGCAGAACAAAAACCTCGTTCCTCTCGACAACACGCTTTTCAAAACCCTCCCCGTTTCAAAACAAATGGTTGATCCCAACACTCTTCTTCATTACACCAACCTCCTCGACGCCATGATCGACGCTGCGTACTTCTCCATGAAGAACCTCAACGTCTCTGACGTCGTCGTTCTTGTCACGGAAACAGGTTGGCCTTCCAAAGGGGACTCCAAAGAACCCTATGCCACACTTTCCAACGCTGTCACATACAATTCGAATCTTATTAAGCATGTTTTGGATCGGAGTGGCACCCCTTTGCATCCCGAAACCACTTCTAGCGTTTATATATATGAACTTTTTAACGAAGATTTGAGGTCCCCGCCTGTGTCTGAGGCTTATTGGGGTTTGTTTTATGGAAATGCTACGCCGGCTTATTTGCTTCGTGTGTCTGGGGTTGGGGCTTTTCTGGCAAGTGATAATGCTAATCAGACCTATTGTGTTGCTGGGGATGGTGTTGATTTGAAGGTTTTACAGGCTGCGTTGGATTGGGCATGTGGACCAGGGAGAGCGAATTGTTCTGAGATTCAGCCTGGAGAGAGTTGTTTTCAGCCGAATAATGTTAAGAATCATGCTTCTTATGCTTTTGATAGCTATTACCAGAGTCAGGGGAAGTCTCCTGGATCTTGTGACTTCAAAGGGGTAGCTACGATCACAACCAGTGACCCCAGTAAGTTTAAATGAAATCTCTCGTATTTTTGGTTGATTTAGAGTTTTTGTGTTGGTTGCTATTCAATGCATTTTTGCTAGGTATTTAGTCCTCCTTTGTAATTTGTTGTTTGCTTACTGCTAGTGCATAGAAATCTTCCTGAAGTTTTAATGTGTATGAGATTATATGTCACTAGATTCTTTAAGAGTGAAGGGATTCCCGTTTTCATGTGTAATTATGTGGTTATAATGCTTCTTGTTTTACTTGATAAGCTTGTTTTATGATGTTCGGAGCAGGCTTGTGAATTGAAATGATTTCTACTTACTATTGGGAAAAGGAGAATTTAGAACTGTGGCGAGGCAATGATTTCTGGTATGAAAAGCAATTTGTGTGTGGCGCCCTCGTAATGCAAAGGCTCTTTGACTTGACTCTACTTTTATTTGAAAAACATCAACTAAAAGGGCGGGGGGGACTTGTTCAATAGGGGAAACTATGAACCTCCCGGTTACTTTTTTTATTGGAATACACTTTGTTAAAATTCATTTTGAAAAGGCTAAGAAATTACAATGAAACTTGTGTTTTTTATTAGAAAGTGAAGGGATTACTAATTCTCTTTCGTCAAAACAGAAGTGGTGTAATAGGGCTTGTCTGAAATCCTCTGTTTGGTTTTTACCCTGACAATTGCAGATTTCCATGTCTCTGGATTATCTTCATATAAGAGTCACTTTCTTGCTGTTCAGTGTACAATTTGCACAGTTTATTGCAAACCAAGTATATCAAGTATACATGCAATGCAAGCATGTTTTCTCTATATCTATATATATATTGCATGTGCTCAAAATGGACTCCACCATTTTGTATAGCCTTCTCTTTGTTGTCTTTCCATGTGTAAGTGTAACATTGTGTGATTAATACGTTTTTTTTTTTTACATTCTTGTGGGGGAATACCTTTGCAGGTCGCGGCAGCTGTATATTTCCTGGAAGGTAAGAAACTTTGCCTGCTTAGTTGCCCTGTTGTTTTTCATAGTTTAATCGATCCAAACTTTTTGAAAAAACAAAAAACAGTAAGCAGCTTTACCTAAGTTGTGTTCTCATACTATTGATGCAGTAAAAATTTAAGCAACAAGACAAAGCAAGTGGTGAACACTACTCACTCAAGCAATGCAAGGGATAATTTAAGGTTCAGAACCTTTAGAAGCATCGAAATCAGTGCAATCTACAACATTTTGCACAGTTGTTTGGCTGCTGTTTTCCCCGTTTTGTTGTTATTCGTTCTCTGAGTTGCAAATAATTAAAATTTAGGTTTTTTTTTGGGGTGGGATGTGGGAGGATATGTAGGATTATTTTGTATTTCTGAATGACATGCTGTTCTAAACTTAGTGCTTAAGATAGGTGCTCCTTTCAAGAAAGTAAAAGTGGGTGGGTTGTAATTAAATATGTATGTTGAAATTATATTTGTTAGTTAATCTTTGTAGCATATGAACATAATGGAGATGATTCTTCCATGGTGAATTTTTTTGAAAGACATGTTCTCATGTGAGGAGAGAGATACACACAATGATCATAAACAGGGTTTGCAAATGGTCTTTGTTTATCTCTCACGTGAAAAGAGCTATTTACCAATATAATAGGGATACTGACCTTGAGTTGGAGGAGGGCAATGATTTAATTTCCCTTATTTTCTTTTATTTTTCTGATAAAATATTAAATAATTTATATTTAAAAATTATTTGCACTACTAGCTGACCTACACACGTTGACCCTTGGCCCATATAATTTATAACTTAAACAGATCAACATTTTAACTAATCTTAAACAACTTAACCTTGGGCATGTATCGATATATTTCCAAAAAAAAAAAATAGAGATTATTATATCAAAGAATTACTCGTATTTTTTTCTTTAAGAGTATTATGACTTGGTGTTTATTTTAAGGCTTAAATGCATTGGTGGTATCTGAAAAATGACCGTGTTTTAGTTTAGTCCATATAATTTTTTATTTCTATTTTTAGTTTTATGCATTTGACAAAAAAATCGTAATGCGGTGAACGTAGATCGAACACGTGACCTTCAGATCTTCAGTCTGACGCTCTCCCAACTGAGCTATCCCCGCATGTCGATTTAATTTCAAAATTAATAATAACTATATATATCTAATAGAGTATTTCAAATTAAATATAAATGATGTTTGGTTTCTTCCCCTAAAAGATGAAATAATAGAATATATTAAGATATGTATGTTTTCCTTTTAGATATATAAGTATGTTTTATTAACAACATTTAAGTGTGGATAAATATCACTTTTATTAATGTTGCTTCCGAAATAAATTTAATTATTTTCATAGAGAAACAGTAGTTAAGTTTATTTAATGTTTTAATTTTAATTTAATAAATTTATATTTTATTAAAATATTATTAACTTTTATTTATTAACAATGATGTTTAGAGTTAAAATAAATGTAAAATAGAAGTATTAAATAAAGTTTAAGAATTTGAAAATGACTTATATTTAAGTTCACTAAATATGAGTTTGTGTACTAGTTTTCAGGTATTCCAACTTCATATCCTAAATAGTTAACATTTCAAAAAGTATTTGCTCGACGAGCCAAATAAGTTAAATACATTCAACCAAATAACTTTTCATTTAAATAAATCAACATTCTACCAATCTTAACACACAAAAAATATATTATTATACCAAAAAATTTATTATTATTATTATTATTATTATTATTATTATTATTATTATTATTATTATTATTATCTTTTGGGTATTATAACTTTGTGACAAGTTGAATTGCATAAATACATTGGTGGTATATGAACAAAAAATGAGCGTTTTTTATTTTGGTTCATGTATTTATTTATTTATCTATAAACTATTTAAATTATTGTTTTTATCCTTAATATTGTTTATATTTATTAATTACGTACGCGTTGAATAAAAGGTACGCGTTGAATTAAGATCTGTAAAATGTGTTATTTATTTATCTTAAAAAAGCGTTTAGATAAAAAAACAATGATTTCATAGTTATTTATAGGGTTTAGGATTGTATTGTATTAAATAGAAAAATATTGTAAAGCTCAAATTGTATTAATATTTAGATCAAAATAAAAAAAAAATACAATTGTATCGTTAGTTAATATTAAATCTATATAAAAGCTAAATTAACACAGTAAATTGTGGGTCCCAACTCGTATAATTTGTCGTTTAAATCAATTGGGCTACGCTTGATTTGCTAACGTAATATATCGTTCGGCCGAAGCCCAAAATAAATTATAAAAATTAAACAAATTAACGTAATTTATCTTTTTCATTTCTTATATATTTGAGTTAAAATGGAGTATTAGGATGTAGTTTGAGTGAGACACAAACTTGATATAGCTGAGGTGCTCACAAACTCATTCCTACTTTCTTTGCTCACTCCTCACAAACCTTGTACTTACAACTCCTTACATGCGCTAAATCTTTGTTCAACAACATATCCAAATTTAAGCTTCATAAACAACAACACTGTCTTTTTAACAAGTTCTGTTGGTAGTGGAGAGAAGAAAGTGCGTTCACAATGAGACTATGCAAAACTCCTTCTATTCTCATTTTTGTTCTTCTTGTTTCATTTATTTGAACTGGCGTTAGTGTGCTTTGAAGCTCACTAATGGCAACATTCACCCTCTTGGTGTCAACCAACAGGTTATTTTCTTTTCCCATATACATCTTTCACTTATTTTTTCACAAATTAGAAATTCGATTCTTCTGCTGCTTTTATCATGGTACATTTCTTGTGTCTTATATTCTTATTCCAATAGTTGTATTTTGTTCATTCATCCTTCCCTTTGAAGCAATCCTTAGAAATGTATGTTATTAATAATGACTGTGGTCACAAGAAAGAAAAGCACCATTGTTAAAGCACTCTCATTTATCAATCAATGTTATGCTTTTAACTGCAGAAAAAGAAAACTGGTAATAAACGTAAGTCAAGTGTTTTTTTATAAAATGATCATGGTTCACTACCTTGGATAATAAATGGTGTTATCTTTTTATATTGTGAAGGTTTGTCTTCTGCTAGCTGGCATACCAATTATTTTGTGAACATTTATTTTGGTAATTGAAATAGTTTATTGAAATTGTATGATTATGGTCTTAATATATATTGTGCAGGAATGAATTACAACAAAGGAGAAACTCATGGTAGGATGGAGTGCATGGCACAAATTGTCCAATCCCACCAGGGAAGAACTTATGTTCTCCAAGTGAAGGTTCAGATTGGTGGTTTTTTCTATCTCCCATCTATTGGAATGCACAAAGTTGCTGGAGGATTTGGTGGCATCAGAATTTGGAGCCGACCTGAGATTCCTGTTCTTTTCCCTCTTCCTGCAGGGGACTTCACCATAATTGCTGAAGATTGGTTCAAGATACACTAGCGTACGTGTAAGATAAGATCATAAAAACCACTTGCATTTGTTTCAATGTCTTCCTTTCACTTTATCACCCCATGTTCCCCTTAATGCTTACCCTTTGTTTCTCTTCTGTTGTTTTAGAAACTGGTTAATATCCTGGATAATGGTCACGATCTTTCCTTCTCTCAAGAACTTCTTATCAGTCGAAAAGGACCACTTTCATTGTTGATCAAGGTAGGTTGCCAAATAATTCTGAATGGAAAACTTTCATCTACTTCTTCATTATATTGAGTTTGATTTTCATGCACTCTTCAACATTTTTCTTTTTCAAACAGTTAATTATTTAAATCTCTTTACATATTAATTTTTAAGGTAGATTTTATAAAAGACTGACTGCACACATATACCAATCGAAATAGGTGACTTTAAATTTACAATACATCTAATTCAAATTCTTATGTTATATTATTTTATTATTCCAATGTGCCATAAGCTGGTAAGACTCACAGAGATTCAGGATATCAAATGTGGGGCTCACAACATACATCGACTTCAGAATCTAGGGGAACAAGATGAAACTTGTGGAGGATCCCCTTCAAAACACTGATGATTCCCTTGACATCCATCTCGGGCAGTCCTATTCTGTGCTTGACACAGCTGATCAGTCTCCACAAGATTTACAAGGCAGATACTCGTTCGTCGCTACAACAACTCAAGCAAGAGAGTATCTGGTCCCATTCCCTGGGCCCTACCCTTTCTTTTTCAGGCCTGGACTACTGGATACACTTTCTTAACTTATTCATTATTTGAAGCCCATGACTATTGGAATTTTCATGAACATAGTCCTTACTTCTTACTTAACCAATAATGTGTTGCCATGTTTTGTTTCACTGCTCTTTACACAAGATGGAACCTGACAGCAAGTGGACCTAGACCAAACTCTCAGGGATCTTACCATTATGGATTAATAAAACCCATCAGAACCATCATTTTGGAAAACTCTGCCCGTTATTAATGGCAAGCAGAGGTATGCGGTCAATGGTGTCTCATATGTTGCACCAGATCCCGCCTGAAACTGGCAGTGGCAGACTACTTCAACATCTCTGGAGTTTTCAATGTTGGAAGCATTCCTACTAACACTACCAAGAGAAAACCCGACCTCCAAACTTCTGTCTTGGGAGCTAATTTCCATGAATTTTTGGTGATTGTGCTCCAATATTGATGGCCATTCTTTCTTTGTTGTAGGGGAAGCACATTACATTACCAATATAATATCTAACTGTTCACCTTTCAATATCTATGTGCACTTCAAATATATGACATTTCATGTTGTGAGATGATTAGGTTCTATAGCAGGCAATGATCATCTACCAGTAGAACACATTACAATATGAGAGACGCTATTCCTAGATGTACCACTAAGGTAAACAAAAGAAAACACGTGTGATTTTATTAGTTAAGTTCCATGTAATTCCACAATAGTATAAAGTTTTGATTTTATTTTTGTTGCAACAGAATATAGGTGTTCCCAAAGTCATGGACTGCAATAATGTGGGAATGTGAGATGTGTAAGGTCTGAAAACTGAGCGAGGCAATACATGGGACCACAATTCTGTCTAAGAGTGTATGCATCTTCCAAGTCATGGAGAGATGAACATCCGATCCCAGAGAATGCACATCTTTGTGGCAGAGCGAGAGGTGGCCAAGCATAAACCTCTCCCATTCCTATTTAATACATGGATCCCCCATAAAAAATTTTAACTTCAGAAACTTGCAGTTTTTTACTGAGACTGCATCAAAATTAAATTAGTTATAGAAGAGATTGAAGAATAATTCTTTGTTTGGTGAAGGGAGACAAAACATAGAGAGATGATATAGTTGGTGATAAAAGAAAAAAATTAAAATAAATGTATTTAGTACAAAATAAATCGAGTAAATATATATAAATAAATAATTTAAATAAAATAAAAACTAGTAATAAATTATTTATATAAATAGTAAAAAAAATATAAACGATTGTGAAATATGTATTGAGAGAGTGAAGTCAAATATGCATAGTTTTTTAGAATAAATTTTGTTGTGAAATGAAAAAAATAAAAATCATGTTAAAATACATATGTTCATGTTTTGGGTCCATTATTTCTTCATAGTTTACTTACATATTTTTGTCGAACCATACATGATAGATTTTTTGAAATATTTTCTTTTATTAGTATTATTTTTAGCTCCATGAGCTTAAGAATATACGTCAAACCTAAATAACTTATTGGTAAAAGTTAATTTAAATTATTAAAATATTTTCCATAATAAAAGTGATGAAGATATAAATTTAGGATTCAAGATAAATTAAATGAAATAATAATTGTAGTGTATTGAATTTGAGTTTTGAAAATCATAATAAGTTTAAGTCAAATTTAAGGAATTAAAAATATGTTTAAACCAAAACTATTTGATAAGGTGAAATGCAAGATAAAGACGTATATAAAATTTGAAATGTGAAAATAAATTAACGTGGTTAAATTATTGTTGAAATAGGGTGAAAGTTTTTGTCCTTTGCTATATTGCAAGTATGGTCTATAGGGTATTGATGGAGAAGCTGAACTTGTTTGCATGGGTGTGGTTCCTAAGATGAACAAAATTTTTCTACCCCCACCCACGACTTTGTCGTTACTATATGAAGAGAGTCATAATTCATTATCATTCTTTTGCAGCTTTAGTTATTCAATAAAACTGTGATTGTTTGTAAAAGTACTTTTATCTCAAACAGTGGCAAAAGTCATGACAAACACGTCACTTGCAAATAAGAACTCCATAAATGAAAATTCTCATGCACATCTCAATCAGGTTATTCAAAATATCTCATGACGCTAAATATCAAATTATGTATTAAAGTTGATGGTATAGTTTGTTTCTCTATGTACCTAATTAACATACACATGCTTAGTGATAATATGGTCACACAGTAATTATTTTCATAAGTGAAAAATTTATTGAATAATAATGTGATCACCGATTAACTTTTTAATCATCTTTTAAAAAATAAATTTTAATATTGATAATCCATATCTTACATTAAACTCTATAATATATAAATTTAGAAAAAATAGTTTAATAATTTGCATTTAAATTTTATTTTACAATATTAAAACTGTAACTCGGTGAGATATTTTTCTTTACAGTAAGTAAGGGGGATACGCGTGTCTATAGAGATTTAGCTATTTAAATGTTGGATAATTATTCTTTACTTACGACATGGATTAGAATAAACTATTGAAACTCATATCCTATTATTTTAATTATGATGATGTACATTAGTTTATAGTTTTACTCATATTTTAAAATGTACAATATTGGTGTTTTATAATAAGATTGGTAGATATAATTTTCAGCAGTTTTAAGATTCCATGAAACTATGCATAAGTGTTATCAGTGAGAATTTTGGTTTGAATCCAGAATTTAGATTAATGAGATGGAATAATCATTGAATGAGAGCTGTTTGATCTCCATCTGACGGTGCAAAAGTTGAAATGGTACCTGGCATGCATGCTATGCTAGTGTTCAAAGCTTTAAATGGTTGGATGGGAGAGATGAAGGATTCTCATAAAACTCATGCATAAGTGATGAAAGAAAGTTCAGTTAATTGAGGTAGACAACCTTTGAATCCGCTCCTCCATCTTCTCCATGCCATTCGGGATTCATTTACAGTCATTCCAACCCCATCAAACAACCTGTCCCTACATGTGTTTGCTTTTACACTTCCTCGTGTGTGTGGAAAAAAAATGAGAGAGAGGTCTCACGTGTGTGTTTGTGGAGAGAGAGAAGTCTCGCTCTCAGGTACAGACACACGCACTTGATTTAAGTTCAAGCATTTTGGCATTGAGTGAAGAAACTTCCATGCATGCCACCAATGTCGACACTTATTTACATGCTCGCCAATGGTAAGTAACTCCTCCTTAACTAGGTGTAAGTATGGGAGGAAACTCCGACATGCGAAGCATGTCTACGTGGCAACACCTGTCTTCGCTTTATTGGCCCAAAGTATGTGACATCAACATGGAACCTTTCGGTAGTGTCCATAATTAATTGACAAACTTTACATTGCCTTTCAAATACCTTTGTTTGGCTTTTTGACAAAGAGGGATGGTTAGGACCATCGTAACGTTGTTGCTTTCTTTTGGACATTCAATATTGCTTATGTCACGCATCTTTGTACACTAAACTACTCTTTCACTATACGTCTTCGCTTCTTTCTTCTATGTTAGCCAGCTATTTCCCGCGTATATTTCCTTGCTGCGGTTAATTTTGACTTCAACAATTTTTTTGGTCACTTGACATAAATTACTTTTATTGTCATTTATTATCTTAATCAGTAATTGCATTATAATTAATTGAAAAACGTAATTGTGCTCCAAAACAGTGAAAAAAATACATTCATAAGTGTTAGTAACACGTGATCTAACGTTAGTTTTTTAATAAACTCTTTATCGTCATTAATGTTTATTATAAGTCATACAACTCTCTCACTCCTTATTTAATGTATTTCATTCATGATTTTTTTTAATAAAATTTCACTAATAAAAATGAGAAACTACATTTATAGACTTCATTTTTCAAATCTGTAAGATGATGTGAGAGATAAAGTAGAAATAATAAAGAGGTATAGGTAAATATAAATAACAAATGTGATGGAAAACAAAGAGAAAGATGTGAAGAGAAGTTGAGTGTGTGTTTGGTATTTTATTTGGAAGAGTATTTTAAAAAAATACTTTAGTGCTCATATATTATTTAATTAAAATGAAAAATGTAAAACTATTTTACATCAATCATGAATTGTTACACCATTTAAAATCATCTTAAATTTTCAATAACTGTTTTGAATTTAACTTATGTGACAGTAATTTTTATAAAAAAAGAAAAGAAAATAACTTTCTCCCCTGTAATAGAGGACCATTTATTTGCATTGGTACGTGTAATTCCTGAATTGTATTTATGATAATAAAGAAGTATGTAGCTGATTCGTTTCCTTAAGAGACAAAGAATGTCTGGAAAAGACCCAAGGGAATGTCCAAAGAAAATGATATCACAAAGACCTCTTCTGATGCAAGGCCCTTTCACTTTTTAACCTTTCATTTTCACCCAATCATGAAGGCATTTTTGAACAATTTTTGGTTTCTGAGTTTCCGTGTCTCAAGTTTTCCTTTTATCCATCGAACCTCTCTAGGACTAAACTGACCCTTCCAAGAGGGGTAACAAAAGCTGCACTAAAGGACAAGCCTTTCTGCCACACACTCTTGCTTAGTATTTATTCTCTTTTGTTTCTTCACAGACCACCACCCTTCTAACTCTCCTCTCCTCCCTCTACCATAACTCACCTAAACTCAACACAATTCAATGAAGCCTGAAGCTGCTGAGAGTGATCAGGGCTCTCTCAAACGCTCCCCACCTTCAACCATGTCTTCTTCTTCCTCTTCTCTCATCACCACCCTTGTTGATCATAATAATAAACCTTCACACCCTCCTGAGTTAAAACCTCCTCGCCGTCGTTTTGCTTCTCATCATCTTCCTGAGATAAGCCTAAAAACTCCTATGGTTAGGCCTTATGTTCGATCAAAAATGCCTAGGCTTCGTTGGACACCAGATCTCCATCGTTGCTTCGTGCATGCAGTTCAGAGACTTGGAGGAGAAGACAGTAAGCCTTTTTTACTCTTACATACACATCTTTTTTTCCTTTTTTTCTTTTTTTCACGTACCCTATTTGAGTTACAATCAGGTTGATCACTAAAGGTGAATACTTTTCTTAACCAAGGTTCAAACATGGGTTATCTTGTAAAAAGATTAGTCTCTTTTACTATACGCAACTCTTATTTTCTATTACATCTGTCTATATTGTTAACGTTCAAATTTTCTCTAACAAAAGGCTTAATTTTTCAATTGGTATATTTCATTGGGGAACCTTTAATTTTGAGTGGTGTTGATTTGGATTTACAGGGGCCACACCAAAGTTGGTCTTACAGCTCATGAATGTAAAGGGGCTTACCATATCTCATGTCAAAAGCCACCTTCAGGTTACTCTTTTCTCCACAACCACGAATAAAGTTATGGGGGAAAAAGGCGTTATCAGTTCGCTTCTTGTTTTCTCTTTTTTTTTTTTTTTTTTTTTTTTTCTTTTTTTAATTTATAATGATAAAAAGAATTCTTGATAACGAATGCAAGTCCTTCATAATTCATTTTGTTAGTCTTAAAGTTCAAAGTCCTGGTGTATTGATGACAGATGTACAGGAGCATGAGGCACGAGCAGATGAGTGAAGGTATATAATTGTACTGTGCATCAGTTACTTATGTGCAAGTTCTCATGCCATAGATGTATGCATTACGTATATGGAAGAAATAGCTAGGTGTAGACTACGTTAGACATTTTGTTGGGTTCAATAGAGGAAATTAGATCTGTAAACACTGAAAAGAAGATATATCCATATATTTACCAAGAAAATAAAGGAACCAACGAGGGGTAGTGGACCCTTTTCCGTCACCAAGAAAACCAAAGTAACGTCAAATATTCTTCAGGATTTTGTTCCAAGAAAAATTAACTTTTAGTGTTGGGTGCTGTTACACATTTTTTTTCCATGAGGTCATTTACCGAATAGAAGAAATTCAAAAGAAATTATAAAATAATAATACATGGTAGAACGTTTTCTTAATCCAGTCTTTTATATGAGGTTTTATGATGAATCGTAATTTATATCTTTTGTGATAGATGCAAAGAAGAATGATGTGGCTCCGGATTTCCCAGCTTCCACGTTCTCAACTCTTGGCCCAGAGTACGGCCAACAGAATCCTCACCAAAGAAGCTGCACGGAAGAGCTCGTTTCCACCCATGCTCACTGGTATTTCTATTTTTCATCCTCTCTTTTCTGTGCGTATACATTAATTTTTAACTTTATAAGTTCTTAAATACTGTTAAATTAAGGTAAAATATCATTCGATATCCAAAGATATAGGATTAAAATTAGGAAAATATGACATTTTGTCGGAATGAAAAAAGTTTGAATAACTTAATCATTAATTAAGTCTGAAATTTCATCCTCGAATTAGTATTAATTAATTTGTTTCAACCAGGGATTAAAGAATATTATAGGAAAGTAAAATAAATAAACAGAAAACAAGTTATAAACGTTAGCATTTACTCATTAAGAAGTCTGAGTTTGTCTTCACTTGATTTGCATTGGTTTGAAAACATTAATAAAATTCACACGTAGACATACACGCGTTACGTTTAAGAAACTCAGTTATTTGTTTTCTTATGGCAGGAATGATGATGAGGAAGAGTATTACAGTGGAAAGCGAGGGGGTAAATCGATTATAGTTTGTAACGGCAATGAACAGAAGATGCACTCCTACATCATCTTCGAGGGTCTTATCCCAGGCCAGACTGTCCAAGTAAGTAACTCCTTCTTCTCATTAGTGTCTCGTTGATTTTGTGGCTGTCACATAATATTATTATTATATATATAGTTGAAAGGAGAAGTTATAGGATAATTATTATACAATGTTGAATGAACAGTTATTCCATTTTGTTTTTCAGGAGAATAAAAATGGTCCTGAAAAGGTGTCACTAGGGGGTGCCACTGGTTACGAAAGCGACCATGAAAGATTCCAAGACAGAAGTACTGGCATAGGAAGAAGAGGAGGAGGAGGAGGAGAGAGAGTGGGTGAAGGCACAGTGTCGTTCTCAATGAGCTCGAGGGCTAATTCACATTCATTCTTCAATCGCAGCCACACTGGTCCAGATGCCAATGATGTCTCTCTTGAGCTCACGCTCTCTTAGAATCATGCACATAATAATAACATTCTACCTTTTCTTTGTCATTTACATATATTTCCTTCCTACAACTACACTACAAACGCTGCATGAGCATCACTTTTCAGGAAACAACAATACTGCTATCGAGTGCTCTTCCGACATTCATTAAGAAATTTAAATTAAATATTTTCATCAAAATCTTATCGCTCTACTTTTATTTATTAAATTCTTAATCAATGTCTCTAAAACACCTGGTAGCAGCAGGAGGCTCAGGATTTCTAATGCTAACGCTATTCGGTTTGGATCATTTTATGATGATTAAGAACATCATGTTATTATTAATCATATTATTAGTATGCACGGCATTCCCAAACTGTATAAGTTGTCTTATTTGTTAGTACTATGTAGTTTTATTGATTGCTTAAATTTTAATTTTGGCTAACTATGTTTTCGCCGGTTTAATTGCCATTTACTTCCTTCGCTAGTTTTCCGCATAACATTATTATACCTTAATAAAGGTTTTTAATTACCTTTAAAAAAGTCTTAAATATTTCTGTTTTTTTAATGTAGATAATAGTGAATATTTCATTTTTTTAAACAAGTTTTCTTATTTTTTTATTTATATTAACAGGTTAGTAAAAAATAAAAATGAACATACTAGTCTTTGTACTATTTCTTCTTGTTTAAAAAGGATTAAAATATCATCATTCTTTAAAGTATGTTTATGTTCATGTTACGCTAATAACAAAATTGTTTTAATCTAAAATTAGGTTTAATTATAAGTCATTTTTAAGATGGAAAATGATATTTTAACAACCCAAATTCATACCAATCTTATAAACAACTCTATATTAATATTATAATAATAATTTTACTTTATTTTTATTTTTATTAAATGATTTTATAGATTATTATATTAATAAAAATGAGTTGTTTAAATGGGGGTATGATTTTTTGCTGTCAAAATATCACAGATATAACATGTTTTTTATTGGGGCGGTAAATAGAGACAGGAATGAATTACGTGTGTTTAGACAAAATTATATTGTGTAAACATAGTTTTGAAGGTAAATTAATATAAAGGTGAGTTTATTCTCGGAATTGAATTTGGAGCAGTGGAATGGACGGGTGAAAGGAGATAGTATAGGATAAGGATAAGTAGAGGTAGTAATGAAGAACAGGGAAGAGAGTGGGGCGAGTTGGAGCACGGAATGTGTGGGGCAACTGCAAAGTTTAAATGCAGAAAGCACAGTTGTTTTGTGTGTATATATATGAACAGTGTGACATTTATATATGTATGTAGGGGACATTTCTCTTCTTATATCATAAAACATTGTTTTAAGATAGATAGTAGTCATGTTTTCCAAATTGCTTTTCCTTGTTTTGCATTTTGCATTTACCAGCTGCCAGGCCAGAAAGCTTGGTGGCTTTGGTGAGGAGAAGGCAGTTCTCCATTTGCATGCCTACGGGGGTGGGGGTGGTGGTGGCGGTGGCTATGGGGGTGGAGTTGGAAGTGGAAATGGTCAGGGAGGAGGAGTTGGGGGTGGATATGGGGGTGGAAATGGAGGTTTTGGTGGTGGAAACGGAGGATATGGAGGCGGCAGCGGTGGTGGTGGTGGAGGATCTGGTGGAGGAAACGGAGGGTTTGGTAGAGGAAACGGAGGATTTGGAGGCGGAAGCGGTGGTGGCACTGGGAATGGAGGTTTTGTTGGTGGGAACGGAGGATTTGGAGGCGGAAGTGGTGGTGGGGGTGGAGTAGGTGACGGCGGATACGGAGGAGGCATTGGTAGAGAATTTATGAACGAGCTACATGTATGATCATGTCTTAGAAAGTTTTTTTTGTATGCAGGAGATTAACTATGCAAAGCAGATGAATTACGTAAGAAGGATTTTTTTTTTAAGTTATTTACGGATATGTAAGAAAAGATTTATCTAATATCACCTGACAAATAACATTATTTCTGTTATATATATATATATATATATATATATATATATATATATTATCATGTTTAATCAAGATTCATTTTAGATTTTTAGGATTAAATTATGTTAGACTGTCGTTTTTATATTTCATATATATATATATATATATATATATATATATATATATATATATATATATATATATATATATATATATTTTAATATTTTATGTTAGTTGTTGGAGTATTTGACTAGTTTATTAAAAGAAAAAACAATAACTCATTAACTCTTTATTAAAAAATATATTATGATCAAAATATTTGTTTGCATTTATCTCTATTTTAATATAATTCAAATATAAATCTCATTTTATATACTAATTTTATATAATTGACTTTTTTTTAATATAATATCAAATCAAAACCTAAGATTTAATTTTAAACTATCCTGGCATTACAGTTTCGATTAATATTAATTTGAGACATACTTTTTTATTTAAAATATTTTTTATTTTTTAAAGTGGAGTGCATTTCATAAAATTTATAATAATTTATACACCTTATTTCATCAATTAAATTAGAGTCCTCCTCTTTTATCTATTATGCACGTGGTTAACAAGTAATAATATATTTTTTCTTCTTACTTTTACCTGAATATGTTATTAAAATATTAATTTCTTATAATAATTTTTCATTTTAATTTTTATGTAAGTTCTTATATGTTATTAGCATATTGAAATTTAGTGTCTATATTATATAAAAAAAAACATAATTTAGTCTATATATAATATATTTTAATATTTAAGAATTAACTAAGAAAAAATACACTTTAACAAAAATTAACTGGGCTATTTAACTTTCTTTATATACCTGATAGAGATGTTATGTCCTTCATCCTTAATCATTCGAACACAAAGATACAGAAAACTCTGTGTAAGATAAATGAAAAATAATTTTTTTTAAGATAAAATAAAACAATTAACCTCAAAAAATAGAAAATGAATATTTTAATATGTCACTCTTCTATTTTAATTAAATAATTAAATTTGTGAGAGACAATTTGAATTCAATTTTTGCATATAATGTGTAGTGGTGAATTTTAAGCATGACTAAGCTTTTATTGTTCATTAATCTTATAATCAACCTGATCGAAGTTCCTATAAATATCTTCAAATCACATAAAATATATATTACATTTTATATTTATTCACATTAATAATTTTTTAATAACATAAAAATTTGTGAAGAGGACTATGCAAATAATCCAATTAATTAAACGAGTTAAAACAGTTTTTAAACTAAACTAACTTATTGTGTAGATTTTGACACGGTGGACCATTTCGTGAACCAAATAAACCAAAATCTAAGTTGTTTTAAAATTTTAAAACTAAAAGTAAGTGATGATAATGATTACTTCAAGAGATTATGGATGTAACACGTTAAGAGGAAGTTTGTGTTTTCAAAGTTCGGGAAAAGCAAATTCTTGGTTTATGTTAACAATGTGAAGGGGTATTTCATGTGAATCCTACTATCCACAAGGTTATTGTTAGCGGTGATACACATTATTTTTCTTCAAGGTGAACTTAAAGTAAAGATTGGTGTGCTCCAACCAGAAGACTTAAAGAAAAAAGAAACTTAGTTTGCAGGTTGACCAAATATCTGTACGGTTTAACTAGGCTACAACAGATTTGATTCTTCATGCTTAGTCTTGATCACAATAGATTAAGTTCATACTATTGTACTTATTACAATAGATTTGATGAGAATGATTTTATCATTTTGTTGTTATATGTGGATGACATGATGTAGGCTCCAACAAAGTTTGAATCCAGGTTTTGATGACAGTTGGCTAGGAAATCTGAAATGAAGAACTAGGGACCAACAAACAAGATTTTAGGGATGCAAATTCACTAGGACATGAAAGATAAGAAAGTTTGACTTTATTAGAAGAATTACTTACTGAAGGTCTTGCAGTATTTCAACATGTAAGGGTGTAAGCCAATTTCTATCCCATTTTCTATCAAGTTAACCTCAAGTATGAGTCTTAGCAATAAAACAAAGAGGATGAAAATGTCTTGCATATTGTATGCATCAATGGTGGAAAGTCTTATGAATATCATAATCGGTACAAGATTAGACATTGCATAAGCAGTAAAAACGGTTAGTAAATCAATGAAAAATTGTGGTGGAAAGCATGAGTTTTATCAAGAAAATTTTTATCAAAGGAACCTTGGATGTTGTATTATGTTTCGGAGGATCAAATCTAGTTGTCAAACAGTGGCGGATCTTCATAGTAATTAAGGGGGGCCATGGCCCCCCAAAGTTTTGTAACTTACTTGTATATTTATGATTTTGGCCCCCAATATTAAATATATCATAAAGAAAAAAGCTGAAGGAATAAATTAAATAAGAAAGATTAAAAATAATTTTATTATCTGACCTTTCTATCTTCTCTCACTTTTTCATACTCTCTCATTAACGGTAATATTTTATTAGTATTTAATTGCTTCTCTAATTTCTAAAGAATATATTAAATAAGAAAGGTTAAAAGTACTTTTTCATCTTCTCTCACCTTTTCATATTCACTCACAAACGGTAATATTGATTGATTAATATTAAGTTATTTACGTAGTTTGTACTTTCAAGTTCATTGTTCGTCTCTCATCCTCCCTTCTCAGATTCCATACTTGAAATTATATTGATTGATAAAGGTACTTTTTCTTCATCTTTTCACTGTTTATTCTATTATTGTTTGTTATTTTGATTTTTGTTGAAGAACATTTGTTGTTTGAGAAAACTGTTTTTGTTTTTTATAAATTTTTATGATTCTACAATTAGAAAATTAATAATAGATTCATTTTTCTCTAGATATGAAGCATAAAAGAATAGATTCATTTTTTAAAAGTGATAAAAGAGATACTTGTAGAGATGAAAACCAAACAAATTCAACATCTTCTCCTGTTTCAAAGCATGATATTGATGATCCAATTATTCAATTAGAAGAACCCCTTTCTAAGATTCATAGAATTAAAACTAATGAATTTAATATTAATTCTTTGGAGCGTGACCCAGGAAAACGTCTTCAGATACATGAATATC